AAGAAGAAGGTGGAGATGGATTGGATTGGACATAGATTGAGAAGAGTGTTTTAGGGACATCATGCTAGATTCCAGGTCAGGAGAGGCTAGGCGAGGCGAGGGTAGGCGAGGGGAGGCCTTCGAGTGTAACCGAAATGGGAAACGACGAGTTGGGCATCCGAGGTGAGTGTGACATATAGGAGATGGTATGAGGAAGAAATGAAAGTTGATGAGTAGTCGTATAGCCAGGTTCGAAAGTTTGCAGAGAAGAAAATGAAATGGCGAGATGCTCAAAATACAAATAATCATGGTAATAAATTCATCACGTTCTGACACCATTTGGAGAAGCGTTAAAAACTTGGCAGCATTTGACAACTCTTTCATCCTATTATATGCCTCTTCTGAAGTACTCACCCATAGTATCTGGAGGAACACCTTAATACATAGTGAAGAATACGAGAAATGATACTGACGCTGGTCTGAATTCTTTCGATTCCTTTGAAAGTCATTTAGTCACATTGCAGTCAAACTATTGATTGATAAAACTTGGTCAAAAAAATCTTTTTCAGCTTTTGCCAGAACAACAGATAGGTTAATGTATATAAAAGCAGATATACTTTGAAAAAAATGGTCTAAAATCCAAATGAATTCCGTTTTCAGATAAAGCATTATCAAAGTGTACAATATGATAGTACACTAATCGAATAATATAATATAACCCTATGGACTTACTATCACGAAATACTGTGATTAAAAGGAATAGTGCTGTACATTTGAGATTAGCCACTAAAACTTTGACTAACAAACCTTAGTATCTAAACACCGATTTAGCTGAATTCCATTTACTTGCTACAATCAAGTTAAAATCTTTTTTCTAATAAGCCCAATGCAGTCTAATCAAAGTATTATGTGTTCATGATAATTAAAAAAAAACCAAGTTGTTATTCATCGAAGACTGACATCAGTTGGAGGAACAAAGGAAACCTGGGAGCACTGGACAGCTGTTTCGTCCTAGTATGGGACCCCTCAGCAGTGCGCACCCACGACCCCACACCAGCAGGGATCGAACCCGCGACCTTCAGGTTCCGCGACCAGCGCGTTACCATTGAGCCACTGGGTCAGAATCCAATGCTCCATATTTCCAACTTCTGTTAGCTCACGATATAGCGCAAACCGTCACCCAATGTCATCATTGAGTATTTGTCCTCACGGCCATCAGGCTTTGACTCCACCGGTCACGACTTGTCATTGGAACTTCGGGAATACTTCTCGAAGCTAGTCACCAACGAGCACTAGTTCAATTAAATTTTTTGAGGGGGTTGTGGAGATTTGGAAATATTTCAAGTTGTTATTCATCGAAGACTGACATCACTGCGCACTGCTGAGGAGTCCCATACTAGGACGAAACAGCTGTCCAGTGCTCCCAGGTTTCCTTTGTTCCTCCAACTGATGTCAGTCTTCGATGAATAACAACTTGAAATATTTCCAAATCTCCACAACCCCCTCAAAATTTAAAAAAAAATCAGTTTGAGATTTGTAGGGATTTATTGATTTCATGATAATATTTTATCACAAACTCACATCATTTTTGCAGAATGATTGAAAATCTACGGAGTAGAATGGGTGGGAGGTCTTGAGTTTGATTCCTGATAAGGTAGTGGGTATGTACTGATGAAAAGTCCTACATTAGGATGAAACTGCTGCCCAGTACTCCCATGTTCTTAATCGCTTTGTACTTGATGTCAGTTCATGATGAATACTACTTATTCGTCGTCCAGATTATTCTAGGTATATAGCTTGCAATATAGATGATGAACTCTTTTCTTCGGGGCAAAAAATGAATAGTATGGACATGTAAAAAAAACAACCTGGAATTCTTTAATTTATCTGAAAACTGTAGTGATAATAATAATAATAATCATTTTAGTTCAAAAGATTTTTGATACAATTTGGGATTATTTGCATGTAAAATTGTAACAAATATACATTCCTTTACGTATATGTCGAATAGTGTTAATTATATCAACTGATGTAACTAACATTAGTAATGAGAAAAATTATATATCGATGGCTAAAATATTGAAAAGATTACCTATTTATTGTTACAAAGTCGACAAGTGAGTTCTATCCTAACACACTATTTTCCTCACACACGATGGGTGCTGGATAAACCCACTTTCGAATTCCTGTATTCTGCTGTAAAGAGCATACAGTCTTATGTTATTTCTTCCTCCTCTCCTTCACAACAGATACTAAGAGAGAAGTGTGAATGAAGTGGATGCCCAGTGTCAGTTAGAATTACTCTAGCTAGTTACCTGCTAGAATTTAAATGTCTATCAACCACTGTGTTAATCAGTTGAGTCAGAGACACAGAAATTACTCTACTGACAGACAGCTTTCCAATCCCTACATAGTATAACACATAGTCATTTTCTAGTAGACCAGAAAAAGAACAACGGGGAACACTGAAAACGAATCAACAAAATGGAGGGATCAATAAGTTGTAAAAGTAGAGGCTGGGTTAGTTGTACCAAAGAGTCAGTTTCTTTACACAATATGCTGAACAAAAGATTTCCTTGGAAGTCAATAAGATATGAGACGACCAACAAAGATCGGAAGTAAAACCAAATCCAAGATAGTTATCACTCGATTTACTTTCTGCAGCAATGGCATCAATACTGTTAAATAAGTCATGGAACTTAAGCAGCTGACACAAGTCTTGTTTATACCTGAGACTAAAATTAACAGTTTGACATTAAGAAGAGTTTAGCTTGAGACTATTTGAGAGAGACCACCGGTCAACTTCAGATATTATTATTATTATTAGTCCCTTGGGTTCCTAGTGGAACATAGGGCTTCAGTAGCACGTCTCCAGTGAAATCTGTTCTCCGAAATCTTTTCAACCTGGCTCCACGACAGCCCACAAGCTCTCATTTCTTCCTCGCACGATCTCCTCCATGTCACCCTCGGACGTCCAACTCGTCGCTTCCCATGGGGGTTCCACTCGAGTGACTGGCCTGACGCGTGATGTCCTCAGTCGGCCTTCTCAGTGCATGGCCAATCCATCTCCACTTCCTCTTGCATATTTGTTGGGTGATAGGTTGTTGGTTGGTTCGTTGCCAGAATTCCTTGTTGCTTATTCTTTCTGGCCATCTGATCTTCAGTACAACTTAAGATAAGAAACTATGTAATTCAGAGTAATCAAAGTGAGAGATGACTTGGTTAAGAAACCCTCACGTCATCAGCATACTTAATAAAATTAGTTTCAATAGAATAAGGTGAGTCATGCGAAACGAACGAAAACATAAACGGAGAAAGTACTGCACATTGACACACACCGGTTTCAGTAAGCAATGAAGTAGACCACCTACTTTTATCGATAGTATAATGTTTTCTTTCAGAAAAATAAGAATACAACCACTTTGTAACCCACGGCCTAGCATAAACTATGGCAAGCTTATTTAACAAGAGTTGTCTAGGAGTATAGTCAAAGGTTGATGTGTAGTCTAAGAAGGCACAGCAACATACGTAGGCACTTTTGCCTAGACTAGAAACAATATTATGGTGCAAGACAGTAACAGTACCTCTCTTGTGTTTGTAAGGAAACTCTTTTGAATCTTCCTAGGCCTGCAATGAAGGTTCAAGGACAAAGCGAAGTAATTTCTCCATTGTCTTCAATGAAAGGGAAGGTAGAGCAATGGGTAGAAACTTAACCTCTTATTATGAAGATGGATCAGGCACAGGTACAACTTTGATCTCCTTCCAAACAGCGGGTATTAGATTTTCGAAAACCCATGCACTGAAGATATCTGCAAGAGGATGACATAAAATATTTGCACATTTTCTAAATATAATACTTGAAACACCATCAGGACCTAGGCTTTGGAATGTATTCAAGGATTTAAGGAATATAAATACGTCATTTGTACTAAAACCAGGAAAGCAGCTATCCATTTGACTACAGACACTTGGTAGGATGACATGAGCTTGCCAGCGCATAAATAACTAGTTTACGCGCAGACATCTAAACAAGCTTGCTTTGTTATCGGTTTTCCATCAGTCAGTTCTTTGAATAATTTCTATATATTGGAAGAGTTCTTACACAATAGAAATTTCTGGTTGTATATGGTATTTAGACATTGTATCTCAGGCTTTATAAGACAAATAAGTCTTTTAACTCCAGGATGATCTCTCATCCTATACAACCTTCCCATTTCTCTATGGAGCTGCTTGAGATAGGGATAAGAAATTCTACCAAATCTCGTAAAGAATTTTTCAGCAGGGCAGAGTAGGATTACATATCATATCAGCAGTTTCTCATAAACAGATTTACCCTTGATTTAATCATTCAGAAAGGTGAAAATTGTGCATTCGATCTCATGAAAGAAACTACTTACCAATTTCATCAAGGACGATAATTTCTAGAAATAAATTTAAGAACTAGCATAACGATATAAGAGTAAAACTTAGGCACTGATAGAGCATTATTGTTATTACTTGTATTATACCGTCCTCGATGGGACCGAATTGATCGGTCTCTATTGGCATATGGGCTCTTGTGCAGATGCCTCGATATACCTATGTTCTAATCCTGGTGGGAACAACATCACTCACTGGTACATCCTGTTGACGAGTTCCAAATAAGACGAAATGCTCATCCTGGATTTCACTGCTAACCACTATCCATCTTTACTGATAGAGTATATTCACATAATAGATTGTTTATTCAATATAGCACATAGTGATACAATATTACTTACTGATTGAGGTTTCGAGCACAATTTGTCGCTCATAACAAAATAATCATACAAATTTCAAACTTTGTTAACCCACTATTTCGATCATATTTTGGTTTTGTTACCTCCATAACCTGACTATATTCACCAGGATTACAATTACGGTAATTTGCCCAATGATATAGAGTACTGAATAAACTGAAAGTTGAAGAGGTGACTTTTCATTCAAGGCATAAGATTTATATATATATAGCGTCTAATAAATCAACATTATCATCATTTTAGAGCAAAATCAATTCACTTTGTGGATGCAATGCAATTGAATTTCCATATTTAAATGAAAGTTTACCATTTTGTCTTGAAATGAGCTCATTTGTCAAAGAAGGTAACTGTGATATTCAACATTCAATCGTACAAAACAATAGAATCTATACTTCATCATTGAATCAGTCATTATTCAAAAATATTACATCATTAACAAATAACAGTCAAGATGCATCAATTATTAAATTACATTTAAATGTCCAATGTTTATCTGAACTTGAAGCTGTAAAAAATCGTGTCCTCTGTAAATCAGAGGTTACTAAACAATATCAAGTAAGCATTTATCATATTTTTATTGCATTATTTAGGTGTATAGTTTTATTTTTATATGCATTTTTTTTCGGTCATTAGATTTCAGAATAAATAAAAAAGAAACTGTTGCTTAAGGTAGGTAATAAAAATTATGAATGAAACAGACACATTTATCCTGATTTTATCAGCCTTACTTGTTTACAGGTTAGCTTGACGTCATCTGCAAATGGACTGGCTTACAAATAGGCCCATATACATGAAAACGGTGTACAGAACAGACAACGCATTCCTCTGAGGTAAAAGATCATAAAGTCCTATCTATCTACCCATACCTCTTTACCAGGAACGGTAGGAAGTGCTCAGCCTGCGTTACTCCACAGAAGCTAGCCATATCTCAGACTTATCAACCAACTGATATAAACTTCCCGCTCCCCTCGGCTATACAGTGGAACCCAGGCATCACAACTCTTACTGCCTACATGGTTATCAGACAACTGACCAGGTTCAGAAGTCAGTTGGTGATTGCCTCCGAAGAGCCATTCCTCAACCAAGAGGGGTGATAGCGACCACTAGTGCAGTCACCAGCGTGGACCCCCGTCAGTGACCTGCAATCCATCCCTGAGTTATAGGATTGGATACCGGCCAGCTCAGTCCTACTCGATGGAGGTCACAGACCTTCATCATATCTTTTACACAGTTGGACACTCTCCTGAACAAGCATGTTAGGTACTCAAGGGTATTTGAAAACTTCAGAGTGGCTCCACCATTACTTTACTTCATAACCCTAGCACTGGACGGAAAAATGACGAGTGGATTCATAAGTTGATATACACAAGAAGATCCACCATCCCACAACTAAACTCAAAATACTATAGACATCAGAATCACCAAGAAAACCAAATATCCTAGTAAAAGTTGACCGGACGTGCACTGTCAACTAGGCATGAATATGCGCGTCATTAAGTAGATGGGATATTTAGCTATCCTGAGAGAGTCATAGTTTACCCCGTTTATTCCATTTTTAACATTTGCATAGAATCAGTTCATTAAAGTGCAATGTATTGTTACACTAATTTTAACATTCCCATCGTAATAATTAGAAGACAGAGTTTGAAGCAAATATGTATTTTCAGCAAATCCTCGTCAGGCTTTACATTCACAAATTATTCAGCATGGTCATTTGATATCAACATGGTTAAATTCTTCTTGGTTCATTCAATAGTGCTCATCCAGGAGTTGAATTCACATGTGAAACAGAGAAAGATGGATGTCTGCCATTTTTGGATGTTTTGCTATAAAGACGAATGGATGACGGCAGTGTCAGACGCAGTATTTATCGATCTTTTGTCCCTCTTACGTACAAAAGGAATTTAGTCCGTACACTGATATTTTGATCCAGTAAGATTTGCACGGCTGATACTTCGAACGATGAACTAAGAACAACAGAGAACTCCCTATATGAGAACGGTTATCCTGAAAAGTTTGTAAAGACTGTAACAATGAAAACAGCTGGAGAAAAGCGCCTTCAAATGGTGCTGAACAGACGATTGTAGCGAACCTTAGGGTTCGAAGGAGATGAAGCTACAGAAACAGACACTGAAACTCAGATATCTGATGCCGCAATACTATGTTTGAAATTGACTACTCGCTGTATAATGTCAATGCAGTTGAAGGATAGGCTTCCGAATTAGGCCACATCTATGTGTATTTATAAATTTAACTGCTCCTATGGAGCCCACCATCGCTTCACTGGACACTGTCCAAGCGTGGTTATGCAAAGGAACGGTGAAATCCACCAATAGCTCAATACTCGCCTATCTAGTAGATACTGAGTATAAGACTGACAAAACCTCGGTTTGTGCACCTCCAATTGCCAAGCATAGCGGAAACCATAGTAATTAAAATTTTCAGACCGCATTTATGTATTCAGAAGATGTTTGTTCGTTCCCTTTCCCTCCCATGGCCTTCAACTTCAACCCAGATACAATTACAATAAATTTCATCCCGGCCACCCAGATAAGTGTAAATGTAAATATTATCTCTGTTTGTACTATTATTATTATCATTTTACTTTTCGCCCTTAGTTTCATAATTCATTAGGAATTCTAACAATTTATTATCGCTACGCGACAATAATTTTATTTCCCTCTATCCCTGCATCCACACAATTCCCTCACACACCTACAAAGATTGACTACTGAGAATAAATGTAAACTTCCCGAGATGTTGTTTTGTGATTATCACCTTTACTATTATCCTCTAAATCACATACCTGAATTAATTTAACCATGTTGATATTAAATGACTATGTTGAATAATTTGTAAATGTAAAGCCTGACGAGAATTTACCGAAAATACGTATTCGCTTCAAACTCTGTATTGTTACACTGTCATCAATACATGTTGGTCCACTCATGTTGACCTGTAAACTTCGATAAACACTAAACAGTCATTTGACTCGTTTGTGGTCCAGCACATCAACAGCATACCAACTTAAATTCGGTCCACACAGTTGAATTGTTCCCAATGAATGAATTCAAGGGTCAACGTGTTTAGTTCCTAACTACTCAAGTGGTTCAGTAGTGTATTTCATTCGTTCATAACATTTTTCTGTCAGATATCATACACTTTGTGATGCGGCCTCGATGCATAAGAAACAAAAGTCATTCATATTGACAAAAAAGTTGGACAGTTGACTAACCACTCAGCTATGAGAAATGTGTACATCAATGATAAAATTTAAAAGCCATTTCAGAGTTGTACCTCTTACGAAATGGGAATCAAATCGAGTTACAGAAACATGATACGCTGACATTGGTATTTCCCCGATGTGCTGACCACTTCAATCAACCACCACTTGCAACTCCTTCAGAAATACCATTAGTAACCGCAGAACTACCAGTGAACATACGTACTCCGACTGTCAAAACAAACGTATAGACAAGAGCAGACATGCCCACACCACTACTCTACAAAGATTCAAAGGAAGGAAAAGTACCAACAGATTGGAAGTAGGGATGTAACGTGAAATTCCCAAAGAATATAGAACTTGGTCTTCGCAAGAACTGGCACGGAATCATGCTACCATCCACCCCAAGCAAAATATTAAGCCGCATCATCCTGGAGAGACTAAAAGGATGCTCCACATTCAAAAATTACGACCGAAACAGGCTGGCTGGTTTCAGGAAGAACAAATCATGCGCAAATCAAATCACAATGCTACGCTACACATCATTATAGAACAGAGCATAGAGTTGCAGTCAGTCAACTCTCTACCTCAACTTTATCGACTTTGAAAAGGCCTTCGATAGTGTTGACGGAGAAGTGAACTGGAAACTGCTTCAGCACTACGGTTTTACTGTCACTAACCTTTATCAACCTCATTCAACAGGTATCTGACGACGCCACATGCCAAGTGATCCACAATGGGAAGCTAAGTGATGCCTTTGAAGACAGGGGGTTGGAGTAAGACAAGACAAGGTTGCCACTTACTATCATCCATGATCTTCGTGATTGTGGTGGCCTGGACTGGACTGGACTGGATCATGCAGCAAACTGTGAGGAGCTGTGAGAAGATGGGCATACGCTGGCTCGACCGATCAGAAGACGCTGAAAGATTTCGATTTCGCCAACGATGATGATTTATGTGTGATGTCTTGTGGCACAAACTCGAAGGTCTACAGACGAAAACTATCAAGTTGACAGAGGAGGCAGGGCAGCGGAAACAGGACTTCAAGTGGATGTGGAGAATCTAAGTATATGGTCCTGATATATGCAGTGTTTGAAGCGGTGAGTACTGGGTTCAAGTCTCTGTCTGGAAATATATCACTCACTGGGTGGGGGTACATCCAGCTGACGAACATTAAGTAGTTCAAAACGCGTGTTCTGGATTTCATTGATAGCCATCAAATCAACGCCAATATAATCACTATCCAAACTATCGGAGCAGCATAGGAACCCATCTGACAACACAGGTCATCAACTTGACTCATTCAAGGCAACGGGGAAATACATTATTATTATTCTTTGCCCTTGTGTTCCAAGTGGAACACAGGGCTTCAGAATCACGTCTCCATTCATCTCTGTACTCCACAATCTTTTCAACCTGGCACCACAACTGCCCACAAGCTTTCATTTCTTCCTCACACCATCTCCTATATGTCACCCTCACCTCGGACACCCAACTCGTCGTTTCCCATCTGGGTTCCACTCGAGCAACTGGCCTGATGTGTGATGTTCCCGAATGGTCTTCTCAATGCATGTCCAATCCATCTCCACCTTATCCTGCATATTTGTTCAGCGATAGCTTCTTGGTTGGTTCGTTGCCAGTCACAATTCCTTGTTGCTTTTTCTTTCTAGCCTTCTCATCTGATCTTCAGTATTGAGTGAGTGTAGGTGGCAGTTGTTCATGAATGTCTGCAGTTTGTTGGAAGTGGTTTTCGTGACACGCCAAGTCTCTGAACTGTCACATCGAAGCACTGACTTGACTGATATTGGTGTTGAAAATCTGGATTTCGTTGTTTGTGCTGAGTAGAGTGCAGTAGATTTCCACACTGATTTCAGACTTGTGAAAGCTTGTCTTGCTGTCTTTCCGATCCTGTAGTTGAAACGATGCTGCTCTGTCTAGGTAGGTGTAGATGTAGGTGGAAGAGACTACTTCCTTAAGGTTTCTCCCATTAATGGTGATTCGTGCTTGTTGTTCACGCTGGTGTTCGTTTCGTATCTTCATCACCTCTATCTTCTCTACATTCACTTGAAGTCCTGTTTCCGCGGCCCTGCCTACTCTGTCAACTTGATAGTTTTCGTCTGTAGACCTTCGAGTTTGTGCCACAAGACATCACACATAAATCATCATTGTTGGCGAAATCGAAATCTTTCAGCGTCTTCTGATCGGTCGAGCCAGCGTATGCCCATCTTCTCACAGCTCCTCACAGTTTGCTGCATGATCCAGTCCAGTCCAGTCCAGGCCACCACAATCACGAAGATCATGGGTGATAGTAAGTGGCAACCTTGTCTTGTCTTACTCCAACCCCCTGTCTTCAAAGGCATCACTTAGCTTCCCATTGTGGATCACTTGGCATGTGGCGTCGTCAGATACCTGTTGAATGAGGTTGATAAAGGTTAGTGACAGTAAAACCGTAGTGCTGAAGCAGTTTCCAGTTCACTTCTCCGTCAACACTATCGAAGGCCTTTTCAAAGTCGATAAAGTTGAGGTAGAGAGTTGACTGACTGCAACTCTATGCTCTGTTCTATAATGATGTGTAGCGTAGCATTGTGATTTGATTTGCGCATGATTTGTTCTTCCTGAAACCAGCCAGCCTGTTTCGGTCGTAATTTTTGAATGTGGAGCATCCTTTTAGTCTCTCCAGGATGATGCGGCTTAATATTTTGCTTGGGGTGGATGGTAGCATGATTCCGTGCCAGTTCTTGCGAAGTCCATCTCCTGTTTTCTCTGCATGTGTCTTCAGTGCTTCTGGCTGAATTCCATTTCGTTCTGCTGCTTCCCGAAATTAGGCAGTCCCATGGCATCTAGGACTTCTGCTTTCGTCTGAGGGCTTGTGTTCACTGGTAGTTCTGAGGTTACCAGTGGTATTTCTGGACAGTTTGCAAGTGGTGGTCAATAGTTTTTTGAAGTGTTCAGCCTATAGTTTCTTTTGTTTCTCCTCTTTGATAACTAGCTTTCCTTCACTACCTTTCATTGGTTTCGTCTGCGCTGATCTCTTCTACGATAGTAACCTGGTTATTTGATACAGTGTTGTTAGGTCTCTCCTACTAGCAGCCTGTTCTGCTTCACTTGCCAATCTGTCGTAGAAGAGTCATTCGCCTTTGCGTGCACTCTTATTCATTTCGTTGTCCAGTGTTTTATATGTTGCACTCAGTCCTTCTTTTCGTCGTTTACCCTTGCATTGGTTCATCTTCTGCTTCACCATCTTCCTCGCCTCTCCCCTGTCGGCCTTTATGTGTCCGTCAAGGTCAATTTCTTGTCATGTTCCCTCTTCCTTCCTAACGCGGTTCTGCAGGTTTCTTTCCACAACCCTCTCAAAGAGTTCCAGTGTTCTTCTACACAGGTTCCTTCAGGGATGTTGCTCAATATCTCCTGTTTGCTTCCGACGGCTGACATGATCTCTCTTGTAGTTTCGTCCTTCACTTTCTGTTCTAGGTGTTCAACTTCAACTGTGGTCTGTCATCACCAGCTTCTTCAAAGGCTTTCAACTTCATTCTCAAGATAGCTTTCTTCCACTATGTTGTCTCATGATGGAATCCTGTATCTGCTCCCCTTCTCGATCTCATCTTGTATCCAGTACGCTGGCTGCGTCTCCACTTTCTTCACATTGAGATCAAGTCCATTTGATTTTTAGTGTAGTGGGTCCATCAGGTGAAATCAAATCCATGTCTCTGCCTTGTGAATATCCTTGTGTTTGTACACACTGCCCCCCTCCAATCACCAAATCATTAAATGCGCAGAAGTCTGCAAACACTTCTCCATTCTCATGCATTCAACCGAGTGCCTCTCCACTCATGATGACTTCTCTTCCTGTGTTGTCCACTCTCACTTTGGCATTCATGACACACCACCCATCAGAATGAATTTGATGTCGCCAACTGGGGTGGGATCTTCTTCATTACTGAATGAAGTTGTCTGCAGAATTCCTCCTTCTTCTCTTCATCTGCATTATTTGTAGGTGCTTAGTTTAGCGTAGCATTGTATGATTGTGACTTTCCTTCCCTCCTTTTGAGTTAAACCTTGCTGTCATGATCCTGATCCTGCAGGAGGAGATCGGCTCCCACTCCATGAAGGTCTTTGAGACTCTTGGGGACATCATGATAGCCACTCCAAAACTCAGAGTGCTCGTGGTTATCGTCTGGGTGACAATATCGGAGTAGATTATTGACTCCCCTCTAGTTGGAGGTTTGGAGAGTCCATTTTCATCCCATCTGCACATTCCCTGCAGATTCCTAGCACCTACATGCTATATCTTCTCATCTCTTCTGCAATCTGGGTAGCCTTGCTAGGTTCAAATATTGTTTGGATATTCCATGTCCCCATCCTTACTTTCGCTTTCATCGAAAGAAGATACATTGGCCAATCGGCTTCCCGAAGGCTTTCATCAACCGGCGTTACTTCGTTTCCCCGATTCCAGCGAGGAATAAGTTTGTTTTTATTTTTATATTTTCTTTATGCTTTGAAGTTTCTGAAGCGATTGGATTGGTTTTAAGGGGTAGGGTTGCAGATCTACGCCCAATCTTCCCTCTTTACACGGGCTTAGAACCGGCTAGTAACTTGTGAACTAGTTAACCAGGTGAGGTATTTAGATCACCTTTATTCGGGTTAGCTAGCAGGGCTGACAAATACAGTTAGTATTACAGCTATTCACACCAGTCAGTAGTATATTACTTACATTCTCATCGGCCATCCACGTCGTGAATAGTATATTCAGGATTAAACTGTTTACAGGATGGTAGCTAAATACATGCTTCAAGTTTGAACAACTGGTCAAAATGTGAATATTTATGAGTGAGCTTCATCGAAACAGCAATGAAATTGTCTCGAACGACACAGGCATTTCATATATTTACGATGGATATTCTTCACAAGACTCACTGATATAACGGATATCACCCAAGAGAAGTTTCGAAATAAGAGTGGCGTATCTTGCAGACTCTTCTTACCACCTTAATCATTAAAGTTAAACATTGTTTGTCCATAATCAAATGTCTATCTCCCACCTAAAGGGTAGTTATAAGATACATATGTTGGCAAGCTTCATAGTTTTTAAATGTCACCCCAAAGTAACATAGTTGTGAAACATTTCAGTTCATATAACACCAATACATGTTCCTTTAGGCATCCCCCCCCCCCAAAAAAAAGAAAAAGAATTTAAAGCATTCAGTAAGATACGAATTCACTCTATGGAACAATTTCACCTCAGCAACAAACGGTTCTGAAAAAAAGCATATGAAAATAATATGAGATTTCAGGCTGGTATTCGTAATGGACAGACACCAATTGGAGGAACATTAGAAACTTGGGAGCGCTGGTCAGCTACTTCATCCTAGTGTGCACCTATGATCCCCACTTCGTCAGGAATCGAACCCAGGACCTTCAGGTTTCGCAGCCATCACGTTACTATTGAGCCATTGGGTCAAAATCTAATGGTCTACATTTTCTACTTCTGTCACTTCACGATAATCTGTGACTTCCATTCAGTGCTGTCGCTGAGTAACTGTCCTCACAATCGACTTGGATAGCCCAACGGGTCACAACCTGTCATTAGAACTTCGTGAATCACCTTTCCAAGTGAGTTACCAATGAGCACCAGATAAATACAATTTAGAGGTTTATAAAGACCATTGCGTTCCAAATAAGTGGCTCAATAGTAACGTGCTGCCCGCGAAACTTGAAACTTGTGTTTTCGATCACTGTCGAGGAGTCCCATATGAAGACGAAACAGCTATACAGTGCTCCACAGTTTCTCAAACTGATGCCAGTCCATGGTGAATACTAACCTGAAACCAATAAGCAAATCGCCACAAACCTACAAATTGAATATGAGATCTATTTAGTGACAGATTGTAAATCAACCTGGACAATATGAAACTAAATAAAAGAATGACAGAAAATGAATTATACAAATGCTTTAAATAATATTATCAGATAAGATCTTCTAACTACCAGAAGGTCAAATCAAGGTCATTAAAAATTTCTTATAGTATTATAATAAATAAACAAGGAAGTGCATAAATCATCTTCGGGAGATTTCTATCAAGGCAAAATAAGTGACTGAATGCATCTTTTTGAACATAAAGAGCAGGCTTGTAAGAGATTCTGTTGTGTTAAGGTGACGAATACGCACTTCTGTCAAAATGTTTGCTTCCACTCTATAAATGACTTTAAAAGAAAACTGTTATAAAGGATAGTGACCATATATAACCAAATGCTCAAAAATCGAGGAGTTGATAGCTTTACACTGTCCTTAAGACAGCCATCCAGGATAGCGTTCTGAGATGTGTTTGGATAGAACATGCTTTCTTTGGGGTACATAACCAGTCCCACAAGAGCAGGTGAATTAGTTAACACACATAGAGGTGGCCCAAATGTACACCCTCGAATTAGCTGTTGACTTAAAAAAAAACAACCTGCGGAAAAGTGCTTTCTACAGTCGATTTTTCAGTATCTCTGCTAATGTGTATCTCCTTTGAATCCAATATTCATAAAAAATACATTTGTTGGAACCGTAGGAGCTTTTTCGTTGAAATTCTCAGTCCTCATGTTCTTCTCAATGAATCTTGAAAGATAATCATTCTCGATTAACACTCTTCGAAGTATTTACAGCTGCTTATTTGCTGCATCATTCATAAAAATTCCTCTGAATCATGTAATAGTGAATTAGATTTCTTTTCCTGAAAATGAGTATTGATCATTCCAGATTTGTTTTCTGTAAATCGATTTTCTGAGGAAACCATTATATCTTCTTCTCAACAGAACGCTCAGTAGTGAAGTTGTGAGTTAATTTAATTGACTTATGACATTTATTGAACTTTCGTTGTATTTCTTCAAGGTTACTATTCTCTTAATAGATAATGAAATTGCCATCTATATATCTCTTATATAGATGGAACTAGTTGATTAACAGACGTCGCTTACTATTCTCAAGATTGTCCACGAAGTAATCAACTGGTAGAGAACCCAACAGTGAAACCATTGCTACTCCACCCGTTAGTCGATAAAGTTTATTACTTAGGAACAATTCTTCAACTGACTACAGGACTTCAGCTAACCATTTAGCAATCCCAAGAAGAGGAACATCTTTCTTATGAACTTTGGGAAGACCATAGAGTCGAGGAATTACTAGACCACATGATTTTAGTTTTTCAAACCGCTCTGTATCAGTGGTCGATTTGTCTTTCATCTTCAAAATTTTTGTTCTGTTCCATCTTTCTGAAACTCTTCTTTTGAGAATTTACTTTCATCTGTCAGTATAGATGACAGTTCATCAACACAGTCTTTGCGATTCATGCCCAAGCCTTTGTTCGGACCACAAGTTCCTTATCTTTCAAAAGTTCATTTCGTTATGTTTTGTGTTCCTTGAATAAAAGTCTGCTAGTATTTGGTTATGCATTCATTTAATGAAGGCAGCAGTTTAAACCGTTGATTTAAATTGTTCAAGACTATTCATCGAAGTTAGAATCAAATGACCTGTCAGGTTCACTAAACTTTCAAACAACTTCAGTGTCAAGCTCATTCAGAAAAGTAGAAATATCACAAAACGAATGCGTTTGTAATTGGATTTTCATGCAAACGGGATTGGACATCTGTTGCTTCAAGACTATTCATAAGCTATGGGTTTACATCTTCTAAGCGTCTTTTCACAATAGTATTTGTGTAGTCCCTGAAATTTTCTCACTCATAGTCTAATTCATATAAGGCATGCTCTCTTAATTGAGATATTGCGCTGCTTCGGGCAATCTCATCGACATACTTTAGAGTGAGACGTTTCACAGTACGATGATTTAGATGAATGTGATTACGACGCAGAATGTTTCAGAACTATCTCGAATATGCATATTTCTGTGTGCAACTTTTCAATAAATTGATTCTAGTTTCCTCCATACCAAGATTGATAGAAAACTGTAGAAACCCACTGAGTTCCTTAACTGTCAAGGAAACCTTGATAACTTTCAACAATCGAAATAGTCCCACTAGATAAAGAAAATCAATAAAATAACAGCATGTCCTAGCAGCAGGTAAAATAAACATGATGAAAGTAATTCCACAAAAAGGATGGAAACCATGCTATTCAAATTACTGCAATAAATAAGGCGACGAAAAGACCAAAAGGCAAAACGGAAAAGTGAAGAATTTGGAGAGGAAATGCCGCTATTTGAGTAATGTTGGGTTGGTTGGTATGATCTAGCATGGAGATGACACGCTCTGGATCATGCAGCAAACTGTGAGGAGCTGTGAGAAGATGGGCATACGCTGGCTCGACCGATCAGAAGACGCTGGAAGATTTCGATTTCGCCAACGATGATGATTTATGTGTGATGTCTTGTGGCACAAACTCGAAGGTCTACAGACGAAAACTATCAAGTTGACAGAGTAGGCAGGGCCGCGGAAACAGGACTTCAAGTGAATGTAGAGAAGATAGAGGTGATGAAGATACGAAACGAACACCAGCGTGAACAACAAGCACGAATCACCATTAATGGGAGAAACCTTAAGGAAGTAGTCTCTTCCACCTACATCTACACCTACCTAGACAGAGCAGCATCGTTTCAACTACAGGATCGGAAAGACAGCAAGACAAGCTTTCACAAGTCTGAAATCAGTGTGGAAATCTACTGCACTCTACTCAGCACAATGAACGAGATCCGATTTTCAACACCAATATCAGTCAAGTCAGTGCTTCGATGTGACAGTTCAGAGACTTGGCGTGTCACGAAAACCACTTCCAACAAACTGCAGACATTCATGAACAACTGCCACCTACACTCACTCAATACTGAAGATCAGATGAGAAGGCTAGAAAGAAAAAGCAACAAGGAATTGTGACTGGCAACGAACCAACCAAGAAGCTATCGCTGAACAAATATGCAGGATAAGGTGGAGATGGATTGGACATGCATTGAGAAGACCATTCGGGAACATCACACATCAGGCCAGTTGCTCGAGTGGAACCCAGATGGGAAACGACGAGTTGGGTGTCCGAGGTGAGGGTGACATATAGGAGATGGTGTGAGGAAGAAATGAAAGCTTGTGGGCAGTTGTGGTGCCAGGTTGAAAAGATTGTGGAGTACAGAGATGAATGGAGACGTGATTCTGAAGCCCTGTGTTCCACTTGGAACACAAGGGCAAAGAATAATAATTAAATAAAGTTTATTGTCAGCGTTTCACTCCTAAATCGCTAATCGAAGGACAACTTTATTCGATCAAATTATGCGTCATTTCATTTGAAAACGACAAACAAATTCTTTTGGTTAACTCAGTTATTCAAGATACGAGTGATTCACGTATCTATGTTACTAATAAACTTTTTTTCTCAACGTGTGATGAGAATCTTCCAGTAGTTTGAAAAACCTTTATTTAAAGTGCAGCATAAAGTGCTGAAATTCTTTATTCTGTATATGTACCTCATAAGTACCTTCAATCCAGAGGATTATCTTGAAATTCGACAAAGGATGTAAGCTTGAGATGATGACACAGTATATAGAAATCTAAAGCCGAAAAACGCCACAGACCATGTGCATACTGCTCCGAAAAAGATGATACTGTTGATCCTTGAATTCAAGGGAAATAATGCAGCAGAGACACTCAAAAAGAGACTATCAACATTCATTTACAAAACATTCTTTACCGCTAATCTTGGAATTATTCTCCGGTCAAAAACTCATTCATCAGTATGTAAAGGATAGGCTTGAGTATTGGAGCGCGTCAGTTTACTCGCTCCTGTGGAGCAAGTACATCAGCTGTACAACCCCCCAGCTTATGCAACGCGCTCGCAAACACTATTTAATTTGGCTATCAAGGGGAGAACGGAAATGAATCTTCATCTCCGTAACACAACACTTGGTAAACTCAGAACATTTGGCTCCTTTTGCTAAATGTTTCAAAATCCTGCACGAGGCGTGACCAAGCCACACGATGGGAGTGAGGCTAAGAGACATTCGGGCACAACTAAAGCATTAGCGTTTCAAAAATCCAAACCATCATATACGTTCAAAAGAATGCACATTCTCTTTCTTTGTCATGGGGCCATCGCAGAGTATCGATCACTCTAGATAACTCCCGTACGACGTAACTCTTTATTTCGTAGTCATTCCGTTGATTTCCTCATTAGATAACTCTCTCCTGTGACATAATCTATATTGATCTTTGACTGGGAATTATTCTCGCTCTCTATACATTTATATATATTCACGAACGTAAGGCTAAGAGAATGATTTCGTCTTCCGTATTATACTTTAATAAGATTTTGAAACATACTAAACTATTTAAGGAAGCATTTATCATCTCATAAATTTCTAATCCTGAATATTCACAGGGTGACGTGGTTCTATCATGCACATTACCATGTGCTTTCTTTGCATATGAAACGGACAGATCAACATCAACTTGGCCTACAAAATCATGGCAATTAAGTTGGCTATCAACACGAGCTGGTAAGAAGGTAGTCAATAGACCAGATTTAGCTGGTTATCGAATAGCTAAACAACGTTTAGAAGCTTCTGATGGCGAAGAAGAAGCACAAGAATTTCTAACAAGAAGCAATGTTTTAGAAAGGAATTTATTGGCCATTATGCTTATCCGACCAAACTTCAATGTCCATAAAGTGAGTTAGCGTTTTGTTACCCTAGTGCTGTTTACCATAGGACAAAGTGGGGAAAAGCTTTTCGCAGACTTTCTATTCTCATAATGCAATGTAACAAGGTAGGGGAATATAAGTGCTCGAGAATGTAGAAATGACAGACAAGATTTCATGTAATTGTTGGAGAGATGTACATATTAGAAAACTTTCCATTGTTAGCTATAATTCTTAACATTACATTGGATGAGTACATACAAGAAGAATGCAAGAGATAAGGAACAAAGATTATAACCGGTAGATAATTGAATGATGCTGCTGTACACAGATAAAACATACGGTTAGCTTCGACGGAGTCGGTTTTGTTCCGTGAAATTCCTGTTTTTTTAGAATCCTACATTCCGCCACACAGCGAAATATTGAATTCTACTTACGACAGTCTACATTCTAGTCAAAAACTTCTCCATAGCACATTATCCACATTGTCCAAATGTTGTTAACAGAACTGTTCAGAAAGAATAGTTGTAGGAAGATAAGTTCATTGCTGGAAATAAAAAGCACAGATAAGAGTAAGCTAAGGGTTTTCCCACTTCTTCTAACTACGCAGCATTTGCAGAATAAAAATGTTACGCATACCATTGGTTATCACGATTCTGGCTCTTCAAAACATTTAGAAAATGTTAAATTCTTACAATAAAAACATACAGAAACAAAGTTGAAAATCAATTCAAGGGCATTTTTATGTTTATATACTCCTCGGAAAAAATGTAATACCTAACTGTATTTTTCGATAATTTCTTCAGGTGGATGAAAAGGAAGTCCTTTCGCTGACAAGTTTGCTATCTCAATCTGGTGGTTTGTTTTCCATCTGGATCGGTTTGAACATGATGTCTGTCATAGAAGTGGTTGAACTAATCATCCATCTTTTCACAAAATGTAGAGTCTTTTCAAGGCAGAAACGACTTCGACGAAGTCAAAGACAGCAAATCACATATGGCGAATCAATACTACAGACTAGCACCACGCACAATGAATTACAAGCAACAGATCAAATCAATCTAGACATCAGTAAATGCATCGAATCATATAAGAAGGACGATAAGAATATAAACAATGGCCCAACGTTAACATCTCCAAGAAGACGATCCCCAAGTGCCCCTGATCAAATGCTACCTACAAATATAGTATAACATTCACCTGATATTCGATCCATATATCCCCTCAACATGCACTATATTACAAGTACACTTGCATTGGTTAACTACACCCGTGTTATATTTTTTATCTTAAATAAAACATCCCATCCCCCATTTAGTTACAAGATGATATACTTCCTGGAGATATGAAGTTTTATGACCGAAAAAAACCAATGGGAACGCACAAAATTGGATATATAAATAAATTGTGATTTCCACTAATCTTAGATAACAGTTAATTTAGAACTATAGAGAAATAAACGTATGAACGAACCTAGAGAACGTGCATAGAATGCATTTCGATCGAAAAGTGAAAACCTATACTCTGGATCAACTGAACAAACTATGCGTTCAATGTATGACAAACAGTGAACCATGGTGCAAGAAACTCTTAACTGTTTCGTTTCAAAAAGAAAGAAATATCGAGACTAAATTTCAAAACCCGACCGATAGCTGCTACCTTGACGTGGTGGTCGGGCTTGCATATCACAATGACTCAACAAGCGATGCTGGTGGAACACTTGTTCCCTCGAGTTCCTACCGTATCAGAAAGATCTATTGGATAGTCGTTACACGATAAGCAGTTACCGTTGTGGTGTAAACTACTACACTATGATGGGGGTCTCAGGGCGAACTCGTAGTGCTACTAGCTGGATGGGGTGTGACAGCAGTAGGGTGTTTCCCTTGCATGACCGGCAGTCCCATGCTGATGCTGCCTTCTCAGTGGAAGGGGGGTTCAGAAAAGGTCAGTCCCCAAAATAACACTCCACCAGGGCCCACAGTCTGGCAAGCCAGTGGTGTTGGTTTACTTTTCGACCATCTGGCTTCTAAACAAAAAAGTATGAAACAACCATACACAAAAGGCTGTGTGCAGCAAGCTACAAGCAGATGTCCGGTGAACTCTGCGGTCACACAAATCTCTTTCAGATAACTTAAGAAGAAATAGCCTCCCACGGTGTGTGTCAACCGCCCTCATAACTCTGTCAGCACTCAAGTTTCTTCAAAAATTCGAAAAAAATTTGTGATCCGTCTATTTAGATTGTAAACTATCAAAAGGAAAACAAAGAGAGAACCTAAGATAGTGTAGAAAATAGGATAGCATCAAAACGAAAAATAAACTGGAGCTTGTAAGTTATAACTGAAGCGAAGAAAGAGTGAAAACGATACAAATAAGGAACAAGAGGTTGGCATTGTCCTTACACTTGTAATTTGAAAGAGTCCTTGTGAGTTATCACTATAGTCCTAAAGTGATTTGCAAAAATCACTATAAGAGATGAAAGCATAAATTATCTCAGACAAAGTGCCATATGAAGAAATATAACTGAAAAGAGAAGAGTTTTAGCTTAGAGGACTAACCGCTAGAACAAGTTTCAAACAATGTGACGCAGAGTGGGAGTTCACAGCCTAGATCAACCAGTCAAGCACACATGAGTCTCTTCCGTACAAAAGTAAACAAAATCAACGTAGAACCTCGGTAATAAGTGCATCAGTTGTACAAAAATAGTTAGAATAAGCAGGATTAATAGATGTAGCTCTTAACAGCCACCTATATATGTTCTTTTACCGTTGGAAACAAAGTCATGTACTATAAACGAGTAGAAAAACATTTTTTCTTCATTGGCTATAGGTATAGGAGGCTAACAACTACAATATCATTCTTTACAAACATCTTTTTTGATACATATCCTAAACAACTGTAGGTAATGAACTACATCTATCGTGAGAGGGTTATTGATGATACTACCTGACAGCCCAAACCTCGATAGATGGAGCTAATTGTGAACCTAAGACCCATTTGGTTGACCCACTACTCCATAAATACAACACAATATATCACTTTAACCAATAACACTTTTATGGCAGCACATTTGTGTACGATACACCATTCAAAGTTAAATCCCAATTTCTTCTTCGTAATGATGAAACGAAACTAGAAATTTCTATTTCTTTTTCTTTTTAAGAAGATACTCTTTACAGAAGTTGTCTGCAAATAAACTAAAAGCCCAAACAGTAAAGTAAGCATTCAAATGTAGAAAACTATAGTGTAGCAGAAAATATAGGCAAGCAGATTACTTAAATTAGGAGAAGAATATAGGTTTATAGTAATTTGTTACCACCAAACATCTACGAATATAACCTACTTCAAAGGTCGTTGAAGAATACGAAACTTTCCAAATTACTAATGAAACGAAATGTGAAAATGTTCAGTTCAACAAACAAACAAGCAAACAAACAAAAAAGAGAGAGAATAAAGACGAATAACATCAATTTTTCTGTGCAGATAAGGTTTTATTCAGTAAAAATGATCTAAAATGCCATGAAGTAACTCATAAATTTCGCTGACAAACGGAATAACACTTTACAGCATAACTAGATTTATATAGGCTGTCGACATTTTGAAGATAAGAGTGTGAGTTAAATTCAAAATAGATGCGAAATCTTGAGCATATACGAACCTCACATTGCTTCATATGCATAATACAAATTAACAAAGCTATGAAATTACATGGATATTGTCAAACTGAAAAGTGCAAACATAAGCACTAATGTTTCTTCAGAGTGTTGATGATATAAATAAAAAAAAACATGCCACCAAACGTATGAATACGTTAATAAAGCTTTTGCAAGTCATTCCACAACTGGTAATACGTAAGCTGGCAAAAAATCACTGGTTTTACAATGAACCTGTAAACAACTGAAGGGAAAAGTATCTTTTAGACTATGTTGTGTGAATAACTGGATGCAAGTATTCAATTATGAATTTTGATCGGTTTTTCATTTGGAGCGTAACGAGGTCGTTTGGATGGCTTGTGATCGATTCCTAACCATGGTCGACTTTCCGGAACACAGTAGTGAGTGAAACTTTTGATCTGAACTATCGGATCCTCTTCGTTAGGAATATAAGTACCTTCTGTAGGGAAAATTACTGCAAACCGCCAGCGATCAAACTCTTTTTCAGGTACTTCTAGCCGTCTACGTATGCGTTCACGAACAGCGCTGTAATTCTCGCCATCTCGAATACGAACAGTGAATGGTACTCCGAAGGTTTCTGTAAACGCCTTGTCGAAATGAGAAACATAGACCACAATTTCATTTGGCTTCAAATTTAATTCATCTAAAGGGACTTCCTCGATTCGAAGACCATGAATAGGAGATGCTCCTGCAAATGTTTGAGGGAACACTGCAGATTCAGGAATAAGTGAAAGTTTTTGTGATGGTGGATACTCTTGTATAATACGACTACGAGAGACTTTCAGTAGACGAAGTTGCCCAGAACCACCGGGAGGTAAAATCAAATGACGAGCAGCTTCCTTAAGAAGATCAGAAACCAAGCCATTCTGAGGAACTGAAAGGATTAATTCTGCCTTTTCAGAAAGTTTCTGTCCAACATAAATCACTCGTACCTGACGCATTGTTTCAAGTTCATCTATTCGAATAGCCAAATGGGCGTAATACACACGGCGTGGAGGAGGAGATGTAACTGGACCAAAAGGTGAACGATTGACAGTGGCAGCACCACAAAAACGATTAAGAGGTACTGGGAAACGATCTGGAGTGGTAGCGTTTCCACCTGTTCCTGATAATGCATTTCCACTGTTAACTAAACCAACACCACCAACATCAGAGGCCCATGAGTTGTTTGTTGGGGCAACAGTAAACGGAAGGAAAAATTCCTGTAATGTACCCGAATGTGAAGAACTTATTGCAGCACCTGGAGGTTCTCTAGCAAGACCTTGAGCAGCTGCAGCAGCTACGAGGGAATTTAGATAGGCTGAAGATGTTGGGAAACCTAAAATATAAAACAAGAAAATAAATGACTTACTTTGATACCTCTGGTATTAAAACAAAACATTCGCAACGGAAAAAAACATATAAGTATAACTTATTTAATTTTCACAAACCTTTCAGCGTTCACTGTATACGAGGTACGGAATATGCATGAACAAAACTTTAACGTCAGATACAAAAGAATGGTAATAACTGACTACCTCATGGAAAACAAGTCATCAATAAAAATATCCTAAGCAAATTACAAGCATATGCACCTCTAAAAAAAAACAATAATTGACGTGAGCTGAATATTAGTTCAGGAGAGAATAGAAGACTATCACTTCTTCCAAGTAACTTCCAAAAACTGCTACCTAGCTGCCCAAACCTCGGTAGGTGAAGCGGTGTTCCAACCCATGGCCCACTTGGTTGACAGTCATTCCCCTAAACCATTGGAGCCACAGGTCCAACACAGCGCCAATATTTGTTATACATTTCCCACACATGCATACTGGAAGATTTTAGCAGGTTGACTCATTTTAGCGCCAGTAGATCCATAAGAACTGCAACCACTGACCTGTAATCATACAGTTTCACTCAAAACGAAAATATTGGAATACGAATTAGTGAAATGACTGCAATGTACGAGAACTATACAAAAAACTCAATAAAAAGGACTAGGAAACATTTGCCACAGAAAAAAAATACTAACTCTGCATATTATGCCATTGTTTTTATCCAAAACTATGATGACTGGATATAGGAAGCATATGGTTGCCAGATAGCTTCCTCAACACTATAATCATTTACATATCCCATAGCATTGGTCAGATTAAACGAGAACCGAAAACGTTTAAGCACTCATCTCCAAGTAACTGATAAGACCCTGAAGTATTATTCTCATTATTTAACCCCAGGGGTTAGTAGTGTAACATTCGGCTTCAGTAGCACGTCACCACTTCACTTCCTTCTCTCCAGTCATTCCAAACTGGATCAACAACTGTCTGCCCAGAAGCTTTCATTTCTTCCTCATGCAACCATCAGACGCCTAATTCGTCGATTCCCATTCGGATTCCGCTCGACGGCCTGGCCTGGCCTGTCCTGGCACGTGATGTCCAAAATGGTCTTCTCAGTCTATGTCCAATCCGATCCATCTCCACTTTCTTCTGCATATTTCTTCGGCGATGGGTTCTTGGTTGGTTGGTTCGTTTCCACAGTTCTTTGTTGCTTATTCTTTCTGGCTATCTGATCTTCAGTATCGAGCGTAGGCAGCTGTTGATAAATATCTGTAGTTTGTTGGAAACGCTTTGCGTAACGCGCCAAGTCTCTCAACCATCACATAGAAGCACTGACCTGACTGACTTAGTGTTGAAAATTCAGATCTTGTTCCACATGCTGAGTGCAGTGCAGCAGATCTCTACACTGATTTCAGATTAATAAAGGTAGGTCTGTCTTGCTGTCTTCTCGATCCTAGTTTTGACATCCTCATATGTGCCTGTCCCGCCTTTAGCTGAGACAATGCTGCCTTTGTAGATAAAAGATACGACTTCCTTCACACTTCTCCAGTTCATGGTCACTGGTGGCTAGGTATCTTCATTACCACTGTCTTCACTACGTTCACCTGAAGGAAGTTCAGTCTTCCCTGCCTCGCGTCACCTCCTCTGTCAACTTGTTGATTTTTACGCCTGTAGATCTTCAAGTCTGCGCGACATAACTCATTAAACATAAATCATCATCGGCGAAATCCAAATCTTATAGCGTCTTTTTATCAGTCAAATAGCGTATGCCCATCTCCTTGCTCCTCACAATTCGCTGCATGGTCCAGTCTGGTCGAGTCGACCACAATCAGGAAGAACATCGGTGATAGTAGGCAACCTCATCTTACCTCTCAACCTGTCTTTACTTCAAAGGCATCACTGAGCTTTTCGTTGTGTTCTGAATCACTTGGTATATAACACCATATGGCATATACCTATTGAATGATGTTGATAAAGGTTTGTAGCAATAAAACCGTAGTATTGAAGCAGTTTCCAATTTACTTCTCCAACGAAGTTGTAAAACGCCTTTTCAAAATCGACGCAGCTGAGGTGAAGAGTTGACTGGCTGCCATTTTATGCTCTGTTCTATGATGATGCGTAATGTTGCGTTGCGATTGGATCCGCACATGATTTGTTTTTCCTGAAGCCACCCAGCCTCTTTATGTCGTAATTTTAAATCCAGAGCATTTTTTAGCCTCTCCAGGGTGCGGCTTAATATTTTGCATGGGGTGTGCGGTGGCATGATTCCACACCAGTTCTTGCAAAGAGATAGGTCGATCTTCTTTTGAGTTTGACAAGGTATTTTCGAAAAATAGAAATATCTTACAACAACGTAGGTTCTGATCAGTTTGGCAGGAACGATACGACGAGAACAATAAAACAGGAGGTAAAGACAATCCTCCACGAAAAGAAAGAAGACTCTAAAATAGCTAGAAGCATTGACTCAGTACTAGCTGATCACTTGTGACAGAGTTTAAGGAAAACTTTTCTAGCTGTGAAACTAAAAACCGGCTTTATAGAAACAAATACAAGGAATGGGAAATGATGAGACTAGTACTTCGTCTATTCTTTAACTCACCAGATGATTTTGCTGTTAATAGGTGGGGATTAACAGGTGTCCCTGTGACCCCAACAGTTCCACTCTCCAAAGAGCCAACACTATTTGGACCACATGTATTGGTTGTCGCTTCTGAACTGAGTGGAGAAGATGTGAGTTCGTTGCCAGCCAAGCCAGCACCCGTAGTCACAGGAGAAACGTATAGTGGAGTACTGACAGCCTCTGTTGCATTGCCAAATCCCTGTTGTGAACGGAAAAACTGAAGTCGATCACTTTGTGTCGATAAGTGGGCGGCAGCAATATTGGCGAATTCCCAGTAGGTAAGGTCGGCGGATACATGAATGAGAATTCCAGCATCACAAGGTCGTAGTTTATCCACCAACAAGATTTCGAACTACAATGAAAGGGACAGATATTTATCAAAGTATATTCAAAAAGAGACAGGCTTATAAGATTTAGTCATCAGATCCATATTTTTTTTCTCCGAAGCTGGTTTGTAATGATAATTCCAATACAAACTAGCATGATATCAATTCCCCTTGCAATTCAAAATATGCACAGAGTAAGTATGCTAATATTCCGACGTTCAACAGTTTAGCGAAGAAAATTCTTTTTCAACGATATCACTTTTTAAAGCTGTACAACCGTATGACAGTCTATCATTAAACAATATGGTATAAATGTATCATTAAGTTAGTGCAAAAACTGAAATCAAGAATGGAAAGTAGTTGCGTAATAACCGTTTAAACAGTGTTAATCATAAGAAAGGTAAGGAGTTTGACAAGGTGAAAACTGTTGGTAGATGTGTAATGCAATGGTTGAGTGTCTAGTTGATAGATACAAAGAAGGTGAAGAACGAAACAATGGTTATTATGAAGGCGATAACGGTAAACTAACTAGTTATAATGAAACTGGAAAAAAAGGGTTGTGAAAGGTGTTAAGACCATGGGTAAGATAAGAGGGTGGACATATTTCTTCTGCATGCTGAGATCAAGCTTGAATTCGTGCATTACAGTTACTTCTGCTGTGCACAACTGTCGAAAGAGTACTCTTTTTGACTCTGTAACTGATAGTATAGGATTCTGGTTGGGCCACCTCGATGTGTGTCTACAAATTCACTTGCTCCTGTGCAGCTAATTATATAGTCCCACAAAACGCGCACTTTCCAAACCTATCTCAATATCGTATCGCATTATCCTGCTTAGTTGTCGAGGGGAAATGTAAATCAATTAACAATTCAATTCTTGGACATCTGGTCAACTATGGACATAGAGCTCTACCAGTCTGTATCATCTACGGAGCCAAAGGGAATGGTTCAAAAAGAGTACGCTTTCCACAGTTGTGCACAACAGAAGCAATTGTAATGCACCAATTCAAGCTTAAAAATAAAATTATGTCTTATTGTTTAATAGCAGACTGTCATACGTTTGTTATATATATATATATATATATATATATATATATATATATATATATATATATATATATATATACGATTCTGTACAGCTTTAGAAAATGACATCGTTTATGTACAAATGTTAGGCCAAATCATTACAGCATAACTTGAACCTTGAATAGAAATGTATCCAATAGGAACTTGATTACAACCATGTATGTTTATAGAAGGTAAACATATTTGTTAGGCTTGTATGTATTATTCTTATTCACCCCGTTTCGGAAAGATCTGACTTCCTTGCGTTTCAGTTGGCATCAGACATGTGCTAAGAGCAATTTATCCTACATTCATGTTAGCGATTCAGCCAATGTTAAGCTATCATTACTTAGAGTCAAAAGCACCCGAAAAATATGCAATCCAATGTAAAGAACCTGTTTATCATTTGACTAGTATTTATACTGGGTGGTGATTGAAGGTGAAGTGAAAACTTGGACCGCGGACGGATTCGAATCAGCGACCACCGGGTTTCCAGCTCGATGCTCTACTAAGTGAGCTACAAGGTCCAACTGCTGATCAGACTTGTATTTCACTTCAATTAAATAAAAATTTGGTCAGCAACAGAACTTCGTAGCTTAGTTGATAGAGCATCGGACTGGAAACCCAGTGGTCACTGGTTCGAATTCGGTTGCGGTTTAAATTTTCACTCGGTTTTCAATCATCACCCAGCATAAAGAACTTTTGCTTTGAAGCAATTATCTCCATAAAGAAAGTATATGATATTTTATCTGTCAGGATAGCTAAGTAAGGTGATTATATAGTAGACGAAATGAAATGAACTGCATAAATTATATCCACATTTTTGAGACAGCTTTAAAATTTTTAAACTATTTCCGCCTTCCACCTAATTTTAAGGACAACCGACTGGAAGTCTTGGTAGTTAAGAAATTATTTCAAGCTGTATTCACAGTCTCATCCATTTTAAAATATTAATTAGTATATAAAAATGACTCCGTTTGTTGAAAGTTAAGTTTACTCAACGCACAAGAAACAAACATCACAGTTGTAAGCTTACCTGACGTATGTAACTGCTGAAGTAATCGAAAATCGACAATTTATCCGCAGACAATATTGATTGCGTCTGTGAATCCAGCGCAAATGGCTGACCCATCATATGCATAGATGAACGAGATCTAATACTTGAGACTGGAAAAGTTGCTAGTTTATGCAATGCGATGGAATCAACGGCCATCTGTGAAATGAGAGAAACAGACTCAGATGCACTTGGACTACCACACACTTTATCTTCAACTGTATGTGAGGCAACAACTACACCATTCACTCCAGTGACCTGACTATTTTCCGAATGCACAGAACTATCTGCAGTCGATAATGAAATATTTCCTTCTTCAGTTAAACTGCTCAATGCTTCTTTACCAACTTCTGTAGTTTCCATCAATCCAAAAGGTAATGGAATGGAGCAATTCACTGACTTAGCCTAAAAAAGTAAGTTTTTAAGTAATAATTACATGAAAAATACTTTAAAACAAGTTTAAGATATAAATTTAAGTTCAATAATAAATATTGCGAAGTAACACGTCAGTTGTTATTGTTATATACCCCTAATTTTGCCTACCTTTTGCCTATAACCTGAAAATAATTTTATTATTGGTGTTTTGGCGTCTTCTCGGCGCCGTTGAAAGCTTCCCACTCCTTCTGAAGACTGAACTCTCATTGGTCGTTAACTCTTTTAATATACCAGTGAATTTAGTTTGTCAAGGTCGTTTAGAATGTACATATTCACCATCGCTCTTAACTGTTTTGACTGTTGTTGAGACAGCAAAAGCTCTCTGTCAACGGTTCATCTTCTCTTCTTGTATTCACGTGTCGGTGGTTGACATCCTGATTAGCCATTAGAGTAGATTATTTGCGCGTTAGGTTTGTATCTCTCGTAGACTAACTAGATCGTATTATCGGTCATAGCAGCTAGTAAAAAACAAAAACGATGAAATGAGGCTGACTATTGCTAATCACACATAATCCATTGCATGAATTTTCGGGTAGATGAACACATGAGTTGTGAGAATACGACATACGCGTCAAACTAAGCTTTTAGAGTAGTCGCGTCAAACAAAAGTTACTTGATAACACCTAATGAAACGAACTGAAGAATGCTGAAATTGGCATTCTGAAAGTCGGACAACATAAAATATCAAAACTTGTCCCAAGAAAAGAGATGAGTGGAAAACTAACGGCAGTACAAAAAGGCTATGTTCAAAATCGTGATCACTAATCGGTTTCAGTTTACAACACTCAATCAGCACGATAGTAGATATCAGTAATAACCTTCCTATAGAGGCGATGGGGTTGATCCGTTGCGAATGAGTAATAAATAGCTTAGTTAACTAACTTAGTTGTCTTAACTTCTTATCCAAGTGCTGGAAGCAAAGTGTGTTCAAGTGAACTGAACGCGACTAAAACATTTCAAAATCAATGCATCAAATGAGCAAGTGAAAATCGATTAGTAGATCTAAAGCTTATATTAACCGAGTAAACGAAACTGAAGAAAAATCAAAACAGGACTGATAGAACAGTTTATTCTATTCCATAAATACATCCAGCCTTTTTGGTAACAATGATTTGATAAAAGATAAAAAGAAATCGTAAATAACTGTTCTTCAACACCCCGGCAGCCAAATTTCAGTAAAGTAAGAACAACAGACCCCAACCGATGGATGGTACTTGACATAGTGGTTGGGGGTGTATATCACAATGACCCAACGAGCTATGCTGGGTGAACGCTTGCTCCCTAGGGGTTCTATCATGCCAGAAAGGTCTGTTGGGGAGTGATTAGACAAAAAGCAGTTACCATTATAGTGTAGGCTGCTAAGCTATGATAGGAGGTCTAAGGGAGACGTCATACTGCAGACTGGATTGGAGCGTGACAGCAGTATGATATTTTCGTTGGATGACTAGCAGTGCCACACTGATGCTGCCTTCTCAACCGAAGAGAGGTCAGAAGTCGGAGCACACAAAAGCACGCTCCCACCCAACGTTTTCAACAGGAATTCATAGTCCGATTCAAAAGCAAAAGGAAAGGAAGTCCCAAACTTGCAAAAAGGCTTTGTGTGACAGACCTCAAGCAGATGTCCCATGAGTTCGGGGGTAGCACTGTCCCCCCTTTATCAGGTACGTCAAAAAGATTTAGCCTTCCACAGTGTGAGGGACCTGGGAGTGTCAACCGCTCGTACGCTTCCGGTACAAGACCAGATCAACCTTGACCTACTCTCCCAAACTGTCTCCTTCTTTCTATATTAGATTTGTTTATTCGACAACACACAGTAATATGGTATTATTTACATTATTATTACTATTATTATTATTATTATTATTATATCATATGATATCATATCATATGATTATGAGCAATAATAATTTATGCTCGAAACGTCATCAAGTAAATAATACTAGATCACTGTGTTATAAATCAAATAAACAAACCTAATATGGAATTAAATTCTACCACAGTGCTCAAGTTTTACACCTATATTAATGTCTTCTTCTTGGCCTTGACTTCCTGATACCAATATTAGACCTATTGAGCCTTACCCAACACTTCACTCAGCAACTACTACCAACGATCAAAGCTATCGAAACCTCATTCCTAGTCTCCTAAGACCCTGTCCGCCATCGATTTTAAGTACGAGCTCTCAGTGTCCGAACTCTATGCTAAACTGGACAGCAAGCATCGCTCGCCAGAACTGTGGAATCTCTAGCCATGGATCCATGTTATTTCTGAGACATATATACAGGATCCGAGTGTGGTTATTAAACTGATCTCAATTGGTGATAGTAGTGAATCTTCGAAATTCACCCCATGAGTATGTGGAGAGCCACTAGCTAGCTCTAGTGTACTCGCTGGTGTGGGCATAGCATTGAGTTGTAGAACAGAAAGTGCGTTTCTCGACTGGATACCAGTCAACAGCCGCAAATATGCTGTTCGACTGAATGGGTTGGTAAGAACTGGGAAGGATAGTGAGAGTAGGTGACGTCTATTTGGAATCTCTGCCTACTCACCCACCGACTGTAGTTCGGATGATGCAAAGGATGAATTCTATGAGAAACTGTGAACCTTGTTATACAAAGCAAAACGTTGAGATGTAGTTGTAATGGAAGATGACTGACTTTAGCGCCCAAGTAAGGAAGCTGAGCCAATCGGAAAGACATCTTGGAGGTAATTACGCAGTTTCATGCCAAAGAACCGACAACAATGGTCTGTTGCAATTTGCTCCGACAATCACTTGCTTATGACCGAGGATTGCAGCTCTTTCTGGAGCACCAGTTTGGACTCCAATCACGTGTATGTTTGAGCCTTACTGGTGGTAGGAAACAGGCAATAATAAAGCCTGTCTATGGTCGATTGGAAGATGAGAAAGTCAAGTTCGAATTTCGAGAAGAGATAGCTAAGCATGACAGCAATGTTCATCTTAAGGAAACCTAGTAGTAAGTCTGCTGTAGAAACAGTGGTAAAGACAACTGGTAACCTACACTCAAAAGTTAGCAAACGTCACTGGATTTCCGCAAAGTCATCCAAACTGAGTGGTGCGACAAGACTAATTCAAATCACGATGAATAGTGAAAGCAAATTTAACGTAAACTGACAAAGAGTCTTCGCGTCGACCGTGAGCAGTGGTGGGTAGTGAGAGCGACAGAGATGAAGACGGCATCAGCGGTGGGTAACACTCGGAAACTATTTAGGCCTCTAAGAAGACGATGGTGGGCGAAACCATCACAGAAAAGGATGAGGCGTTGATAACCTCCCATGGCAGGTGGCTAGAACGTTGGACAGAACACTTTGAAGCATAGTTCAACCGGCTCCCATCAACGTTTCAGTGGCATAACATTCAGCTTGAACCTGAATGGGATGCAGGTGACGGTCCTCCTACAACCATTGAACTTGAAAAGGCTGTTTAGAACCTTAACGCAAAGCAGCAAGAATTGACAGCTTACCACACGAAGTTTTAAGAGATGGAGGTGGGAAATTGCTAAATAAAGTGATGGAGGTACTAGATAGTATGTTGAAAACACAGGTAGTACCGTCACAGTGATCTACTTCATTGATCATCCCAGGCTAAAAGAAGGGAGAGACGTCTTCCTGTGACAACTATAAGAGAATTAGTTTGACTAATATTGTGTCCAACGTCCTAGAATCAATAGTTATTCGACGCCCAACTAGAGCTCAAGAACACCAAACTCGATGGAACCAGGCAGGTTTCAGACAAATGGTGCATCGATCTATATTCTCACTCTCCGACAGGTTCTAGAACACAGGCATACCTATCGGCGGACATTTGTAGTATTTCTTGACCTGAAGGCAACATTCAACACTGCTAATAATGAGGTGTTGCGGCAGTGTCAAGGAAGTATACAATGATTACCAAAACTCTCTACTCGAAATCACACAGCTATGTTACAACTCATGAAAAGTTTTCATTTGAACTGACAACCAGTGGCGTCCAGCGATTGACTTGGAGTATGTAGACGATATTATCCTGCTAGCTAAAGATGTTGGCAAAAATGCAGGGTCTTCTGAACGCGTTGAGCAGAAATCTGAATTTATTTGGCATGTTTCGCAGCCACCGGTCAAATGTAAGATAATAATGCTGTAGGGCTGGCCTGCAAAGACTCCCAACCTAATGATAGGGGGTGAAGTGGTGGAATGTACCGACCACTTAACTTACTTAGAGAGTTGCATCACCTCGCTGAACCGATTGGTTGCTGACGAAATCTCATCTCCGATAAAGATGGCTCGTTTGGTATTTGTCAACTTGCCTCATTTCCAGCACCGACTGAACAGATATAAGAATATCTATCAAAAGACAACTATACTGCACCAGTATTCATTCTGTCCTGTTATACGGGTGTCAGACATGGTCGTTAAAAGGAAACGACATGAAGCAGTTACAGGGTTTCAACAACAGATGTCTTCGTATCATTGTTCGACTTTGATGGAATCACCGTGTGAGAGATGTTCAGGCTAGACGAAGAGTACTAGGTAAGAAACGCAAGTCGATTTATAACCTTGTGAACATTAATCAACTGCTGAGATAGTTTGGACATGTACTGCCCATGCCGAGCCACCGCCTACCTCGACGTGCAATGCTACGGGAAGTGAAATTAAGTCGGAACAGGGTTCATGGTGGTCAGATCAAACCCTGTCAGCAGTCAGTCCGCGACCTTTGGCTTGAGCGTGTAAGGAGATGTAGACTACCTGGTTGGGGTACCCGAGATGACAGGAATCATTGGTTGAGGGCTCTTGATAACACCACAATGGCTTAGATGTAATCACTCCTTGGCATCTTCTAAAGCTTGAATATTCACACCAACCGTTATCTTCAGATTGCTTATTCTCTCACACAAATTTGTCCACTTTGATATCACTCTTTTTGTATCCATCTGTTTTTTGTGTAGCACTGTAGCACTTGCAGTGATGCACTTGTGTGTGTGGTTCTACGTTGATTTTGTCAGTCAGTTTTTACAACTGAATAATCGACTACTAATTAGTTACGATGATATTACAATTTGATAATAACCAATTTCATCCGAATCTACTTCAATTTCAGGCTACATCATATCTATTAACACTGGATGCATTTATGTATTACTTTTTCTTTGTGGTTCCGATTTCCCAAATGAACGGTAGTAATAATTTTACTGGATAAATATTGAGAAACCGGTTTTTAATCAGCAACTTTCGTCATTCGAACTTGTCAATTTGTACAACCTACCTTCTTAATACTTTTCATCAATGGACTGTCCCTCTCTTTAATAGTCATTAAGGCATGAAGATTACTTTAGGCTGTATATATTCTGTATTTTCGCTACACTGTACGCAACTGATAGCATGAGGTTAGTGCATCCTGCAAGCTGTGTTGTTCCAGTTTTATTAGGAAACTATCGAATTTATCATAAAGAATTTCGGGACAATTACTTCATTTAACAAGTTCGGTTATGATGCAGATTTGCCACATTTCCTGAAAATCTTACAGATAACTGCTACACAACCTTACTGACCATCGTCGTCTTAATGGGCGTTGCATTCTCTGGTTTGGATGATTTATTCGTAAATCTTTCATCGATAATAATGAAACGTGGAAACCGATAATCTTACAGAGAAATGCATCGATTCAACCTGCCACACTTTACAATAGCATGTAAAGAACAAGTGCGTAGGAAAAAGTGCATGGGGTTGAAGTGAATTTAAGCATCGCTTTAAGTTAGAATGTTCAAGCTTTAGAAGACATCGAAGGGTGAATACATCTTCGTCATTGTGACTGATCTTCCGCTGTCACTGGGATTCTCCAAGCATTGATCCTTATGGTCTCAAGGATACCAAGTAGGCAGTCGACGCACCCTTACATGACTCAAAGCGACAGTCAGTGGTTTCATAGACTGATGCCAAGTCCCATACCCGGTCACCCTTAGCCTTATTGCAACTAAATCCAACTCCTACTACCATCATACTTTGAGGTAGGTAGTGACGGCACGCACAACATATTCCAAGCCACCTTAGTCTCTGACGGTTCACAACCTCATTGATTGAATTACCTCCCTTGTACCCTACATTTAACCTGAAAATTGTTCAAATGATGATTCTACTACACTCGGCCAAGGGTACGAAAATAATGTTCGAAGACCTATAACCTATTTACACCTCTTATTTTCAGTTCCCACGTCTCAAAGCCATGTAACAGGACAGTGCATACTGTAGCACAGTATACTCGTCCTTTGACAGATAGTCGGACATCTCGCTAGCGAGCGCCAGAGATGAAGAAAATGGAAAACGTTAAACGAGCCTTCTGTGTTCGAACTGAGATTTCGTCAGCTAATTCGGGCTGATTCAACTCCCTCAAGTAATTGAAGTGGTCGACGACATTCCACTCCATTCACTCCGTGTTACTGAACTGGGAGTAGTTGCTGGTCAGTTCTGAAGCACCATTTTACATTTTACAGGTATGAAATGCCCAAAGCGTTCAAAAGATCTTGCATTTTGTCAGCGTCTTTGCCCAGGTCAATTAGATATCCTCAAAGGAGCAGGTTAATCCTTGTGAAGTCAGACTAAATTAGGCGGTTATGTCTACTAATACAGCTCAGTATAGAGATCTCGAACATTCTCAATGAACTGTTGTCACTTTCAGTTGTATTCACTGTTTCATACAAAAGCAATAACACATTTTTAGCACTCAAGCATATGAATATACATGATTAAATTCAACTTACTTGAAAGTAGAGAATTTGACCCTGAATCTCTCGTTTAAACATTTTTGATACTGGAATATCAAGCTGACAGATTTCAGAAATCAAAGATTTTGTATCGTCCTGATAAAAAATCAGTTTACAGCTGGAAAGTATTCCAGCTCGTTCTCGAGCTACTGTTTCAATAACCCTTAACGGTTCATCCCTTCCAATCTCTACATGACCACAAAACGTCAAAGTCCAAGTAAATGGATCAAAATATTTTAAGAAAAAAAGATGTCGATCTGTAACAAGCTGTTCTTTATCTGGTCGAGAAATAATGGAATTCGATGAAATGTTAGACTGAACGTAGAATATAAGCGTATCCTTCATTGCACATAGTGGTTGGTTATCACCAAGTTCAATTAGATGAGTAGGTACGTTTTTACGACTAGGAGTAAAAAAAAGGGGAAAGAAAAGCAAAAACGAACATATAAATAAGAGGAAAATGATATTTTTGCTGCACCTTTGTACTTACTCTAATCACAGCTAATAAAGATAAAACTGTATTTCAGACCAGACTACAAACACAAGATGTTATAACGCCCATTTAGCTACCTTGTGCACATCTGTGCTCTAGGCAATGAGATACACCTTTTGTGTGAGGGCTATTGGTGATACTAACTGGCTGTCCAAATATTAGTAGGTGGAGCGGGGTAAGAGCTTATGACTGTAGACCACTGAGCTGCGGCTCCACATACAAAAAAATACGTGTAAATACATTGGAATAGGTGGAAACTAATTGATACACCCCGAATTCATGTACCATTTCTGAAGAATATCAAATGATTCATGATAATATTGAACGAATAACAAATACGTCATCATCACATACCGAGGTTGAAATCTCCACAAACGTATGTTCTCAGGTTGATAATGCAACACAGTAGCAACATCTTCCAACAATTTTGGGCGAATAGATTGTTTCTGAACACGTAGCATCCGGCTGGGTAGGAACTCTTGACTACACAAATCTGGACCCTAAACAGTGAAAACAAAAAAATCTCCATCTTCAAAAAGGTGATCGAGTGAACAGACAGTGTTTGAGAAATAATGAACAAGCATGAATGGTAGGGAAAGTAAGTTTCATCGAAATAGTTAATAGGAAAGAGGCTAACCAAATTGAAATTACCTGCCAACCATAAAAATCCTCCTCAAGAATTAGATGAATAGCAGTGTATAGATGAACTTTTTCCTTTTGCCTTCTTTTAGCTTCATCCATCCTTTGTTCATCCATGAATCGTTCACGCAAAGTCTCAGGAATATCAAACTCAGAAACGGGGCATAATACATCGTCTTTAGTTGATTCGGCGATGTAGACTAACATATAAGCATTGGTGCACAGACGCATATCTGGATCATCGCTACCCCCAAAATTCTGTACAAAATAGGTAAGACTAGAATTAATAAAAAGATACATGAGCATATTGTGGCTTAAGCATCAATTTCGTAACCGCGGTCAATTAAGGTGTGAATAGAAAAAATTCTGATCAGAAAATGCAATTCACAGCTGATAGGATGCAGTCTAAATCGAAATCAGCACTCAATGTCACCAGTTGCCAAAGTTGAAGTTTTAGATTTCAACCTTTGTTTCGTGTTACTGTGTGGTTAGGGAAACATTTCATCCTTTAGCTGACCAATGAGAATAAGTATCCAACTTCTGACAGTGGCTTCATTTTCTTAGGTAATACTGTAAATAAATGTGCTTGTTTTCAAACAAAGTTGTCTTTCTTAGAGTCACAGGCTGGTCTTAGTCTTCTAATTTTTGCGCCTCGGTGAAGTATCAGGTCTATTAGAGAACAGTTGCTATTGTATCTAGTCCACGTATTGCACCGCATTATTATCCTTCAGAGCATTTATTGCTATCCACTGTAGTTACTTTCAGTCGGTCACGCCAACAGCTGATATAAAATATTCATTGAGTTTCTAAAATTAACTGGGTAATCACATGCAGGAAAGCATAAATGAAAAGTATCTAACATGTTAATGCACAGAGTTGTATCCCACATAAAACATAAATGGACCGATAGCACCTTGAAAACTATCCAAGGTGTTTTTTCAATGAATTTAGCATTAAATTTACCGACTTTTATCAGCTAAACATGACAGTCTTAATAAACAAACAATAATTTGAACTCAGTGAAAATTTTACCTCCAGAACTGAGGCAGCTTAAAACTACTAAGAGCACTTTCCCCTTGGTGAGAGATGTAACTGAGAGGTCCTTTTGTAGTAGGCGTTGGTGATCAGAATGGATATAAGTAGTATACAGTAAGAGGGTGGCTGAAATCATAAGCAATTACCAGCAATGGGTAAAGATTCTGCCCAAAGAAACACAAGAGACAATGTGGGAGTATTAAGAGTAAACCAAGATAGAAGCAGAAGAGGAAATGAAGCATAATATGCAAATGACTGTCTCTTAGTGGAAGGTGTACAATATTTGATGACTACTGTACAAGATGTCAATAATAAACACTCTTTCCTTCATCTCTGTCTTGTCGTTTCTACAACTGATGTCGCTGCTTCTGGATGTGATGAAGATTCCGTGGCCTGCAGTGTAAAAGGATGAAGACATCAAGGTCTTCCTCAGAGACCTCGAGTCAGTTTCGGAGCTGGTAATTCCCTATGATTTTAGCCGCCCTCTCAAAATATGCTATACTATATCCATTCTGATCAACAAAGACCACTACACTACTTTGGGAAAATGTATTGTTGCCAGTGTTGTGTAAGAGTGATACCTCTGGGAAAGGCAATTGTGCATTAGCTAGAGAAGGGGGTCATCATAAAAACTACCCCCTTTATTGTGTGACAAAAGTTCTCAGAAGGCACACAAACACTAAATTTCTAAAATTGTGTTTGTATTTATTTCGAATAATAGTATTCCAAAATTTCTGAACTAACTATCTGGCTATGACATGTCGAAGCATTAAGCGGCAATGTCTGAGATACTACTATAATTTCCTGACTAACTAACAAAATCAACGTAGAATCCTGCATACAGGTGTATCGGTTCAAGTTGCCACACTCAACAGTAGTACAACACAAAGAACTGGTGGATGGAAAACGACTGATATCAAAAGGAGATAAAGTAGTGTGAGAGAAAATATAATTTGACGATAACGGTTAGTGTGAATATTCAAGCCTCAGAAAACGTCAAGTGAATAAATCTGCGCCATTGTAGCCAATTTTAAACCATGTCACCAAGCATCCTAAACCACTGATTCCTTTCGTCTCACGACCCCAACCAAGCAGTCTACATCTCCTAACTCGGCTTCGGTCAACAGTAAGAAATTTCATTGACTGGTGCCACGTCTTCATCTGGCGATCCTTAAGAAACCCTCTTGCAACCTAATCAAGCATGTATATCAAGGTAGGCGGTAGCTCGGTATGCGCAGTAGTCTATGTGATTCTATGCAAACTTACAAATAACTATTAATGTACAATTTTCACCAGTGCTTATTTTTCTCAGACTGCATACATTCAAGACTGACTACTAGTGTTCCGCTATCAGATTATAGACTAGCGAGCATCTTTATTTGTGATCTAGCACACCGCTAACAGAGAGCGAATAGGTTTACGTCAATGTCAGTGTTGAAATTCTGAAGTATATCTGCAGTAGAATTTAATTGAAATCTAGTGAGATGGATGTGAAAAAACCTGACACATTACAATTAAGCTCAATCGTATGTCGATTTCGACACAAATCATCTAGAATTGTCAGGTGATATAATTACAAAACTTGAGAAACTTACCATGTCAATAGCATCGCGAGGTGAGCAACGTGAGACAACATCATCATCAAACTGATACCAAATACCATTCAAAGCTGGATTTATATATACAACATAATGACCACCATGATTATCACCAGAGTGCACAAGTACAGCATGAAGTTTGTAAGTCGATGGTTTAGGTTCTGCCAGAAACTGATCTAGCTTCAGAATATAAGGAAATTCGAAACGATCATTTAATTTAATATTTGTATCAGCAACAAAGTCATACTGGAATCGCATTAACTGTAGGTACAGTACTGGAGGAAATCGTGTAAATATGACACCCTTTTCAGCCTCCTGGAGTCCGTAAACACCAGCATCATATTTATTGTCCTGTGAAAGAGTCTCTTTTGCAATGTATTCATTGAAAGCATCATAAACGGAACGATTTCCATTAACTTTAAGCTGAATATCATAAAAGTTCTCCTCTCTTTTGGAAGAATAAGGAACGTTGATGCAATTTATGTAAGAAAGCATTTTACCGCAAAAAAGACCAGGTATAACATCTTCAACTGATGTCCCCTTCATTTTGTTTTCCAGGTTGTCTAATAAGACACGGCATAATTCTTGAGCATCATGTTGCATAAATGAATCTAAGGTGGCCCAACCAAAACTGCGAGTCAACTTTTTAGTACCTACTGCACGAGTACTAAACTGAAGTTCATAAAATACTCGTTGTAATGCCAATGGAACACTAGTTTGAGCATCATCACTCTCTGTAGGCATTAGGAAAACTGCACGTCGTAGTTTATTTGTGCAATACAATGCTTGAAGAAGAGAATTTAAGTAGCAAGTAGCACCCTGATTTTTCAAACCAACAAATCCAGTATGGCGTTTGGAGTCCCAATCAGCGCCATGAGGAGCGTCAGCCTTGATATGAGCACGAATAATAATGGTATCTTTTGGCTCTGTCGGTGATAAAAAACCTCTCTCAAGGCTAAACAGCTCGTCATAACTAATGAATTGCTGAAAACCCCAATCATTTTCTTTGTGTGTAAAAGTGTGTTGAATTTTCATTTCCTTGTTTTTACAATTCGGTCTTTGAGCAACTAACTGAATCGTTGCCTTGGCAGTGCAACTCCATGTTTGCGATTCACTCTCAGCATTACACTGTACAAAAACACCGATTGTCGATTGAGTATCTACTGGATGAAATATTACAAGTATCTTCCAAGGTAGGCATCGTATCATTCCCGATCCTCCAAGTACCTACAGATAAGAAACACTTGTTGATTAGTAAATTATTTAGAAAGTCATTTAAAACGTAACAAACTGTGATGAAATGAAGGATAAAATTGTCAAGAATCAATAGCAACAGGCTTTAATGAACTAACTCGGGTGGAAACATTGATCCATGAAAAACAACACTGACAGCTTTCCGGCGAATTCAGTCCTATATTTTTGCCGGAATAAATCCTTACATAATGAAAACTGGGGAAAATAGTCATATAATCAAAACCCAGGTATATTATCAAACAGTATTTGTCAATGAAAGAGACTAGGGAAATTTCATGGTCATCAGTTTTCATCAACCGCAAAACTATCAAAATCAAAGTCATAACTCTCAACAGAAAAGCATCAGTTTCAGTTGCCACACTTTACAACAGTATACAACGAACAAGTGGGTGGAAAAATTAATGACATTAAAGTATAAAAAGGCGTATGAGAGTAGAGAAAATAAGCAGATAAGAGTCAATGAAAGACTAATCTGTCCGCCTGTAGGATTTTTACTTCCATTATTATTTATTTAAAATATGAACCTGAGCACCAAGAGATGTGCCATTCAAAATAATATAGCAACATCTAGTGAAGCTGTGGTTAGTTCGTCTAGGCACTCAAGTTTCAACCTATGAGACCATGCGTTCAGACCCAGATCACCTATCAAGGTTGGAGTAGTCGGGATGTATCATTAGCCTTTACGCAATAGGTGTGAATCACTATCTACTGGAGAAATGCGTGTGGTTAGAGTGCGTTTCACTATAAAGACGAAAACGTAAGGTAACAAAGGGAGAGGAAAAGAATGGGGACGAAAATATAAATGGATTATTAGAGAGGTAGTCTAAAACACGTATAGGAAAACAGTCAACACCATTTTATTTACCGATAGTAGAAACAAGAAAACAGAAGCATGATCGTCACTAGTTTCGATTGTCAGCCACATATTATACGCTATTGTCTCAAGTCACCCCATTCCATGATAGCTCGGACCCAGAAGTATTGAGGTACAAACAGACGGCAGCACAACTACCATTCATCTCATCATGCCATCATGTGATGGTCACCTTTCGTCGCTTCTTCCAACCAACTCCAGGACAAGTGAACACTGAACCCTGTGAGAACCGGTACGGTAACATTTATAACACATCTTCAAGCTACCGAAATAATCAGCGCACACCAATCGCGACAAATGCGCTTCAGCTTATACAGAGAAGATCCGTCTACACGAATGATGTTCACAAAAAACCACGTAACACATCTCTGGAGTCGTCACGTTTCACAACAAATATCAAGTTACTGACTGAATAAGAGATTTATGTTATGAATTATTGAGTACGGTGATTACAATTCAATTGAGAACAAAAATACGCCGATGATGAAGTAAGTGCAAGAAGAGACTAGCTTAGTGAAAATTAGAAACCTCATCAGGCAAACTGTTAGGATTGTCTATATCCACGCTGATAATGTGTATATATTTGAACTGTTTTCCTCGCGCTCTTTTTCCCGCACATGGGTCATATTTCATACAACCCGCTAGCGTTCTGATTCGCTCCTGTTTCTTTAAATGCATTAGTTATTTCTTGGCTTTCAAGCTTACTGTAAACTCTACAAATAGGGTTCGTTTTCACTAACAGACGTTTTCATTCCGAGATACTATAACTTTAGTTGGTTGCTAATCTTTTGATTCCCCTCTGAGGATTATTCAGGCTAGACTACTAATCGTTGATTATTATCGTTCATTTTCACAACTCTCCATCGTAGCAAAAACATCTGGGTTATGTGGTAGATGAAAAGTAGAGGTATTATACTGATATATAAATAAAAATAATAATAGCTGGAGATCTTTGTACACTATAACTTATTTCTAAATCTTATTTTAAAATGATCCAAGAATGAAGGGACTATAAATCATACGAAAAATTATAATACATCAAATGTATTAGTTTGTAGATTAGGTAAACTTACGCGAATGTCTGCACGCACAGCTGCTTCCTGAAAAGTTTTAAGTAGGTAAAAGGAAATTAAAGTAATTTATACGTTAAAACTTAAAAAATTTATAAAGTGATATATAAGAATACTTTGAAGAGTCAATTAAATGCAATACTTAAATTCTTCCAAGTGTAACGCCTATGACTTGACAATCCTTATATATGAACTTCGAAGTAGTCATTATGGTCAATTATACACGAAACCGGTCACAAATCACTTTCCCAACAAACGGACAAAACTTTTTTTAGCGGTTAATACGAATGGTGTAGTAATATCCCAGCAACAATATAACGACATTATTGATTGTAAACTTAATGACCGAATTATATGATTATTATCCTTTGTTAAGCCGATGCAGCAATAAACTCGTTCGATGAAAGGTTCAAGTGACAATAAAACTTTAGGTGCTAGTTCAAAACAGTGGATTGTTTTCTGTAGCTGTCAGAAGGAGTCAGCTCTAGTACTACTGGAAGAAAGGACTTAACTAACTCTCTTTCAATAGACTTTCTTAACAATCGAGCACACTTCTACTTGCACACAATAATTCTGTAGTATTGCATACCAATCGCTTTAAAATGCTCATCCTTATATCATGTTTAAAAGTAAATATTGCTTAACTACAAACCGATATTACTCGTTTCTGAGAATAAGTAGCTTAGTTTAGTATTGATGATTAATTACATTACCCTTTTGTATTCACAGGCACAAGCTCATGAATTGCTAAAGAATTAGGAAGATATTTAAATAGTAATCATGGATAGTGGCTAGCAGTGGAATCCAGGATGCGAATTTCGCCTTATTGGGATAACGCTCTGGCGTTTAGAATGATCGGTCCCGAGTTCGAATCCTGGTGAGAACATCACTCACTGGGAGGCAAGTACATCCAGCTGACGAGTCCCAAACAGGACGAAATGCGCATCCTGGATTCCACTGCTAGCCACTACCCATCATAGCTATAAAAAATTAAAACACAGGCAATATCGAGGCACTCGTGCAGGAGCTAATATGCCAGTAGAGACTTATCAACTCGGTCCAATCAACGACGGTATAATATAGGCAATAACACTAAATATTTGAATATTTGTATTTATACAATGAGTCATCATCTGAAGTAGGCTAGTCTCCAGCGAAAATGATATTCAAACTGCTCATTGTACATCAGATTAAACTCCAGTGACCGTTTTGAGGAAACTCCATATCGGATACAAAAGGTCCATTCGGTAAAAGTCAACTCAGTTGGTTTGAAGCAATGGGGAGGAAACCCTGAACCTAGGATTCATGCTTGTTAGTACTCGTTAGAAAGGCGTACATACCTACTTTTCCCGTCTCTGGAGCCCGAGAGATATCCAACTACCTATTGAAGGACGAAGGATAGAGTAAGACAGTTCACCATGTTTTATTTCAATGCGAAGACTTGGGTGTAAGAGAGGTTATAGGGTTTTGACCTTAGGTTTCTTCGTTGCATTGCTCATGTAAGCGGAAATCAAGGACGAGCAATGTGAGGGTTAAGTGAAGGGCGTTAGACAATGTAGACAAGTCAGTTAGTGAGGTTGTGAACATCCGGAGACTAAGGTGACTTTCAGATGATCCTAGCCATCACTTTTCTCGATGTACAATGTTAACCAGAGTTGGATTAGGTTGAAGGAATACTCAAAGGGGCAAGATCGAGACGTCGCACTAGTTCTTCGGTCGTTGGTCTCAGTCACGTAGGGAGGTGTAGACGACTTCGATACGACCCTCGAAACGACAGAAATCAAAGATTAAAAACTCCTCGTGATACGGCTCAAAACCAGGTGTGTACAGTCTTTGTCATACTCGGAGTCTTGAACATTTTTACTACCTTTTACCTCTCCTCATATACCTTTGTCTGCATTTTTCTTTCACGCGCTTGTTCTTTGCTTGCTGTTGTGAAGTGGCAGGGATTAAAAGATAAATCAACGTGGAAGCTCGCAAAGAGGTACACCGGTTTAGAGGGCCACACTCCACAACAGCACTCAAGCAGGGATTGAATGGAAAAGGAACAACAACAAATTAGACAAGAGTGTGAGCGAGGAGACAGAACAAATAAATAAAGGTCAACAAAAATGTTCAAGACTTCAGATATGACAGGGTACATACGTCTGTGTCTTGTAACTCAACCCGGTGGTATAAGTTTATGTACTAGGTCATGACTGACAAAATCAACGTCGAACCTTCCACATAAGTGTATCACCTCAATTTACCTTGCTTCACAGCAGTATGCAAAAACAAGTGGATAGGAAAAGTGACATCAAAGTAGACAAGGCTGTGTAGGAGAATAAACAATTTGAAGACGAAAGTCAGTGCACATATTTAAGTTTTAGAAGATGTCACAGAGTGAATACATCTGCACCACTGTGGCCGATTTTTAGACATGTTACTAGAAGTCCTCAACCACTGATTCTTTTCGCCTCGGGTATCTCAGTTAGGCAGTCTACATCGCCCCACGCGACCCAGACCAACAGCAGATTTCCTCGAATGGAGCCAGGTCCTGGACTGGTCAACCTGAACCCTCGTCTAACTTCCCCTAGCGCTGTACCTTGAGGTAGGCGGTGGTTCGGCATGCCCAGTACTTGTCCAAGCCATCTAGGCTATGAACCACTGGAAAAGTACTGGAAAAGTAGTGGAAAAGTACACAAATTAATCTGTTGAGGTTGTTTACTTGAGTGGATACATTGCACATCTACAAAGAGATTTGAGCATAACTTCTGAAGAAATAGATGTTCGCATAACAATGAACTGTGTACGGGGACGTGCTATGGGGAGGTTGTAACCCACTGGTCTACGCAGTCGACTTCCAACTGGTGTGGCCACGGGTTCGGACCGGCTTTCAACTACAGAGGTCCAGGCAGTTAAGTAGTATCATTATCCCTTATACAATGGCTATGGCCTCATTGCCTACGGCATGAATGTGGACACACTTGAGTGGGGACAGACGAGACGATATAGAAGAGGAGGAGTAATTCAACGCCTTTTCGTGACAAGAATACTTCATGTGTGTGAAGAAATCCTAGTCAATGAGATCTCCTGCAAAATCAGAAGTGAATATCTCCCTAAACACAGTAACACAGTTACCAACTACCAGACAAACATGAAGAAGACCTGTAGAATGCTTAAGAGTATAAAAATGCGAACTTCAACTAGGACGTTAACAGAATATCCCATTCAAAGGTGAATAAGAATAACTTTTCTAATGTCTGCTAATACATTAACGACTAACATCTGTAGGCTGGATGCCGTACGATATTTTCAGTTTATATACACAACTAACCACTTACGAAGTAAATAAAAGATGAGAAGTGATAAATGTGCCCTACAGGTACACGCTAGGAATTTTTGTGAAAAGAGATGCGAAACTTACCCAGAGGAACTAACCAACAAGATAGTGAAATCTACAAACACTTAGTATGTATACCAAGATTATATACACACTATTTGAGTGATATAACCCTAACCCACCTTATGACGCAGAATGTTGTCGAAAACAGCTTCAATAACACCTGAGGCTCTGGCTTCATCATTCTCATCATACGCTTCCATGGAGGTATCCGTCTGCTCGCAAGTGTTCCCACAACATCCTTTCACGGTATTATAAACCCAAGGGTGTTGCTCATCCTATTGAATACAACGAAAAAAATAAAATTCGTTTTATAGTTAGCACAAAACATTTTATCAGATAAAGAAAGTGCAAAATTAATTAATTACAAGGCTTTGGAGTTTCCGCAATCCCTATCAAATGTACATCAGTTATAATATCGAAAAAGACTGTCGCAGCTTAGTAAATGCATATAGGATATGCAGTAAAACTCAGAATGATAAAAAGCTATCATTTTTTATTGAATATATTTCACCAAATTCCTCTGTTTTTCACTTGTTTTCACTGTTCAAGTGTTAACAAATCTTAAAATGTACTCTCATGCATTCCTAAAATGTCTTCAAACTATTCTTAGACAAGTTAGCAGCGAAATTTCGCGAAAAAGTCAAGGTAGTTGACAATAAGCTCCTGAGTGTTCAACATTACATCATGCAACAATTACAGGTATAGTTAGCTAGAGCTGTAAAGTTTCATAGTGGTTGAATAAACCACTACCAAACTTACAGGTGTTTTTCATCCATTCCGCCCCCTACAGTGCAACAATGTATCTACAAACTAGACGACAGCCTAAAAGCAACTGGTTGTTGTGTATTATTGTTTATCATACTATTATTACTAACATCATTCGACTGTCATGATTCTTTCCATTTTGGAAATATTGTACAAATAAATTTGTTGCTAAGAATTCTATACTGTTTTAAAAATTATGATATGAAATAAAATTATCATTATTACTATTATCATCATTAACGTGTGAAAAAGCATAAGAATAAGGTGAAATTAAGTCAAAAGAACTGAATTCTTCCGAAGCAACACAAGATGGCAAGCACTTACTGGTAGATCACTTTGAAGTAGACCGATGAAGAACGGAGCACAAGTAATTCAGGGTTGTGCATACCACTGACAAGTAGTAAGTTTGCTTGGCTTCATGGCATTGGATTAACTAGCAAATTCATACTAAAAAAAATACTGTAATGCCTTTCCCTTCTCGCTAGTGAAGGTAATTTAGTTTCACTAGATTAAAGTATGTTCACCTTGACACGAACAAATTTGATGAAATCATAGGATGACTGATCATGATACATCGAGTTGCGTGTCGAGACCAGGTTATTTTTGATAACGACACCAAAACTCTCTGATCTCTACTGCAGGGAAATGCATTTATCAGAACGTGATTTCATGACAACTTTATTGAATTTCTAAATACTCTCACGGCTAAGTTCTTTTAGAAATAATACGCATAGAAAGATATTGGTAAAAACGACAAACTGCCTAAGCTGTTACCTTATAAAGAAAAGCTTAGTCCATTTCAACATCATTCTATTTTTGAATTTAACATCTGGGGCAGTTAGACTTCCATGTATATATTCGAAATACAAGATAAAACGAAAGTTTAAATACAATGCAAAAATGACTTATCAGAAGAGCAAGTACCTCAGTGAATAATATCACAAATTTATGCATTTTTGGTATCCATTTAAATCTGAATAGTTTAAATGGTGACAAGCAAACAAAATGTTAATACCCAAAATGTCATTCTTATTATGACATAATCTGAAAGGCTGTAAACAGTGATGTCAATTCAAAATGTAGTAGAAACTCCACAGGGATTAATAAGTTTAACTAGGAAGTTGTGTAACATTATAAAATATTTGGAAACTTAATTGTAATCAGAAATAGACAGGAATCGATCAGAGTTAGGTAAGTGAACAAAATGAAAGGAGTACTTTTCTTTTGTGTACAGAGCGTAAGATCCTCTTTATGTATCGCAGCAGGTTCAGCGATTCACAGAATACGAAGACATATGACGCTGCAGACGCTTCTTTTCAAAATTTCGAATAAGGCCTTCGTCGAGAGAATGGTCTGTGTTGATCATGCGTTCAATTATGACACTTTATCAGTTCAGTATTACCTTCTGTTGTCCCATAAGATAGTGCTTCTGAACCCTCCTTTTGCATAAAACTAGCATGTAACGACCAATATAAAACCTGGCTCCACAAGACCAGATGAGCCGACATGTGGAACAAAGAGGTGATCATCTGCTTATCTTGAGATCTGACGGTTCTGAGTCCGACCCCATATGAAGTTAGAGGTATGAACAGATAAGAAGTTCAACGTGAAATAATGTCCGATGCACCCTGGTTGTCAATGATCCACCCTACCTGATGCTCGTTCGATATCAAAAATATAAGGCTATGAATAATAGCCGCACTAGATGAAATGACATGAAGAACATTAAACTGATGATAGGAGAAAAAACAGCAACCAAAATATGTCTGTGATCAGTCACCTGGCTTACATCTGAGGATGGGTCATGCTCCGAAGTATCGCTTAAAGGTTGCTCCACTTCCATTGCTTCTTCGTATTCTACTGCATCAAGACCTGTATTACGATTACCAGGATTCGGATTCGTCTTCAGAGTGTTTGGACTTAACTTTCCTTGTTTATCCGACATTCAGGCGACCTTTCGTAGACACCAATGGTGGACAAAATTAATTTGGAGCTGAAAACGATAAAACGTGAGCAATAAACGAAAAATTATAATTACACAACTATTCAGTGACAACCTGTTGTAATTCTAGATTATAAACCGACATAAAATATAGGAACGATCTAATTAGTCCTGCATATTGAACTGAGTGATCTAATCTGATACCTCTGCTTAAGACTTGAAATCGCTGACTCACTATGATTGGACGGTGGCTATTCCCAAAACCCGACTGAGCGTGTCAAAGGACCAAACTACTGGTTAACTGATACCATTTACACCATATGCTACGTGACCACCTTAAGTGATGTAGGTTTATAATTTCAAGTAGTTTCCTTCTACTGCCGAGCCCTCCGCGAAAAACCGATACCAAAAGTGAGCGAAACTAGAAATTGACATCAATTTGCTCAGCATATCCACGCTTAGTGTATATAAGCGCTATCTCACAAGTACAAGGTATAGCGCAATGTTGACAATCCACATAACTCAAGATAAGAGGTGAGATAAGCTGAGTAGGTGTGAGAGAGCCTTCAGTATCTGACGAAAACGTTAGTCAACCATCATATTTCCGATATGAATGTAATCATCCATGAAATTGACAAAGTCGACATCAAATATCTACACGTCAAATTTCGTTGACTAGCGACCTACACTTAACACAACTTTCATGTAGAAATCTGCAGCGGAAAGAAATTGTGTCAACCAAAAATCAGTACTCTGGAATCAAAACGTTTTTTGGGCGTTTGTACTCTGAGTTGAAGATGCATAAGTCGACCTACGAATATTAGCTTACCTAGCATTTCTTGTGCTCGATATGGTATGGCAGCTACAACTTTTGCACGTCCATTTAAGCGCAGACGTATGTGTACTTCAATCAACGTATGGTTACTGTCCAAACACATGATCCAGAAGGAGCGATAATCTTCTACTGTGAAGCTGGGGTGAATGGACACCTAAACAGATTGTCTACTTACGTTTGAAGTCCGTGTCGGCTAGAAATTTTCAGTTATTTGAGCACAGCTGTAGCAGACGAAAGCCCTAATCTGTTTGTTTTTCTGGGATTCCAAAAGTGGCACCTTAGTGCCTTTCTGTTCTGAATTAGCCTTCCCAATTGTGATGTGAAATCACCTGCTGCAAAAACCACATTTGAATGTTTGGTTTTTTGTTGGAGGCTTGTCAATTTTTAGTAGAGTTCATCTTTCACTCCATCTGAACTGCAGTGAGTAGGTGGGGAGGTGTAATCATAGATTAAAAAGAAACAGCAGCAAATTTTGCCACTCTATTTAATCTTAACTGGCACTCAGTTGAACAGTGCACAGGTGACTGTCGACTGGGATTCAGTCAATCGTGAAAACTATTTATTAAATATTAGGAAACTTTTGCATTTTGCTTATTCCCCTTATTGGCCAGGTGAAGTTACATGAAACGCACTTGGTTGTTTGTATGCGTTTCCTACAACCACCTCACACGTGTATGGCTCGAGACACCAGAGTTCTGAATAGCGAGAACAGTTGCTTAATTTCAAGAGAAATGTAGAAAACTGGTATGATTCCCGAAGCACGCACGGTTTTCGGAAACTAGGAATCCTGTTCCGTTAACTGGAAACCTTATCAAGGGCTATAGAGCAGGAGTACATAGGATTCATAATAGACACATGAAGTAAGAATAGAAGACAAAGATGTGTGCAGTCAGCAATTATCTCAAACAAGTTGAGTGGTGATAGAGCTGTAGAGGCCGTTGACACTTTCCAGCCACCCATGAAATGTAAGAATACTTTTTACGAAGTCTCGCAATGCTGGTTTGGGAAGAAGCGTAGACTGCCTCGTTCACATCCTCGAGACCGCACGTATCAATGCTTACAGAATCAACAGTGATAGCTGAAAATCAGTAACAATGACGAAGATGTATTCACTCTTCTATGTCATGCAAAGCTTGAACATTACAAATAAAAGCGACACTTAAGTTCACTTCAACTCTATGCACTTTTTCCTACTCTGATAAATTACACTTTCTCTACCCACTTGTTCTCTCCATCCCACCAGAAATCTCCGGAAAAAGTTCCATTTAGAGCAATCACCTCAGAATCTACAACTGTAAAGTAAGTTAACATCCACCGATACACCCCTTTGCGGGGTTCCACGTAGGTTTTCTCTCTGTCACTTAACCTCACGAGGCCAACATGGTGAAATTACAAAATCCAACCTATGAGTTTTCAAAGATTCCACTCCTAGTTCCCACAGTCTTCCAGGTGTAGGTAGGTATCACATTACGTGCCAAGGCAGAGAGTGCACTACTCAATTGGATCTCATGTGACAGTCACCTGTGCGCTGTTCGACTAAACGGCACAGTGACGACCAAAACAAATGGTCAAACTGGCCGTCGTCTCTTTGTAATCCATGCTTACGCCTTCCCACCTACTCACTGCAGTTCAGATGAAGTGAAAGATGAACTCTACTAAAAATTGACAAGCCTCCAACAAAAAACCAAACATTCAAATGTGGTTTTTGCAGCAAGTGATTTCACATCACAATTGGGAAGGCTAATTCAGAACAGAAAGGCACTAAGGTGCCACTTTTAGAATCCCAGAAAAACAAACAGATAGTGGTTACCGCTTGCTAAAAATACACTCAGAAAACCATCTTTTTCTGGTCCCCACCAACTTCAAACATAAAGACAGAAATGCACACCAGTTTCAACCCAACAGAGGACACAACCCATTTCGATAGCAGTTGTCACTGAGACGGTCACTCGACGATTACAGTTCCTTCTGCAGCACGTGAGGTACTAGTTCGAACACGCACATGTACTCACCTAAATAGTCCAGGAAAAACTACAGAAACAAAGCCATTTCGAGTCCAACTCGATGGTGAGAGTATTAAGACTGCGTTCAGCGCGAAGCTGACTAGACAATCATCGGAACACAACAAAATCTCCTATCCAGAAGAAACCTCGTCCCATCTCAAGTCTGCTGCAAAACAGCGTTAAACGGCATAGCTGACTCCCAGAGAGCGGTTACAAAGAGCCACTGAATAAACCAATGCTCGTGATGAACCTATTCCTGCAGGCTCCAAGCACAATGAAGAGTGGAAACAACTCAATTGTAGACCAGAGAAAAGTCCATCCAATGACTGCGAGCAGTGATGAGCAACGATAGCTAAAGAGATGAAAAAGGCTGTGGTGACAAGTAACAGTAAATAGCTAGCTATCTAGAACTATCAAAGATATTGAAGCAAAAAGGCCAATGGTAAGCGAAACTATACCGGAGAAGGACGGATCGTAGAGACGAATAAAGCGAGCAGAATACTTTGAAGAATAGTTCAATCGACCTTCAGCTACTATCACTTTGTCCGCTATCTAGACAGACCCGAAACGAAATACAGATACAGAATCCAACACTCTCAGAAGTTCAGAAAGCTGTGAGTAGTCTGAATCCAGGAGGAACAACAGGGTTAAATGGACTATTACCGAAGATATCTTGGGACGGTGGTCGAGGATTATTTATCATGTCAACCTTAAGGCTAGCTAGTGTATAGATGAACAAGCATGATGCCCCACAACTCTCAGTCAGTGGCTGTCCCAATCTTCAAACAGATAGACAAAATCAACATACAATCTAGCACACTAGATCATCACTTCGAGTTACCACACTTCACAGTAGCACACAAAGAACAAGTGGATAGGACAAAGGTGCATCGGGGGAGAGGAAATTTAAAAACCAAGGCCAATCAAAACACGCAAGCTGCAGAAGACACTAACGAGTAAACAAGCCTGAACCATTGTTGTCGATTCTCAGCCATTTCATCGACAGTCCTCAACCGTTAATTCTGATTGTATCAGGGACCCAGACAGACAGTCTACACCTCCCCACACTCCGCAGATCAACAGTCAAGGACATCATATACTGGAAACACATCTTGGTCTCGCCACCCTGAATACTTTGCCAATCTAACACGATTCCCGCTGGCACCACACGTCAAGGTAAGCGGCGGCTCAGCATATGCAATGCATGTTCAAGCCACCTCAGTCAACGAAGGTTCGCAATCTTATCAACTGGTATCCCACTTTTGTCTAGTCCCCACGCAGTGATTCCACAATTTGCCACCAATGCTACGAAGACACCAGTGTTCAAAAACTCCTAACCGCTTCCTATCTTCTACTTTTAGCAACCCTGTCAAACAACTGGATAACACGAAACGAACTGCAGAGCAGTATGCTCCTTCTTCAATAGGTAGTCGGATACCTCGCCGGCTTCATAGATGATGCCTTCAAGAAAGGGGAGGAGTCCTCCTGTGGTAATCATAGGGGAATCAGTCTGACAAATATGGTGTCTATGACTCCAGGTTCTATAATCATCAAACATCTACGCGGAGCTCAGGAACAGAAATCCGAAGGAACCAAGCAGGACTCAAATCTGGTCGAGAACGTATCGACCAGATATTCACCGCTCACCTCCCACCCTCATCAGGTTCGGGAACACAAACACACCAACCGACTCCTGGCGCTAGCTGTCTTTCTCGAAATAAAGGCGGCATTCGACACCATCAACCGACAGGTCCTTTGGCAGTGCCTCTCATCGAAAGAAGTGCCAACTAAGTACATTATTCTCTTGAAGACTGCACTCTCAAAATCCTATGGGCATGTGAGACCCTATGGTCAGGCATCCGGTGACTAGTGAACGTCGAGTGGTGTCCGTCAAGGATGTCCACTTTTTACATTCTTATTCAACTTCGCCATACACGTACTTATAGAGTTCTCCTCGTCGCCTGACTTCACACAGATTAATCCCGTCTCAGGAAACTCTTCAATTAACCTACAGTACGCAAATTACAGTCCTGTTAGGCAAAAATCACTTGAGAAGTGTCATCAAGCTTGGTGGATCAGTGACCGATGAAACCTTTGCACGAATAGAAAACGCTCACTTGACCCTTGACAACTTACGCTATTTATGGTGCCTCCTTGATATCCAATCGCCTACTATGGGTAGTGTACTGCACCGCGGTCCACTATTCTACTGCATAACTGTGAAAAACGATCAAGGGTGGAGGACACGCGAAGGCTTCACGTTTGTTAACCTGTTGCCCTGGTAACACAAGTCATGACACGGAACCACTACATCAATAATGCAGAATTCAGGTGTAAAGTTTCAGGTAGAAGCTCAGCCAATAACTGCTACCTTAACATGCAGGTTGGGCTTGAATATCACAATGATCCAACGAGCTACGCCATCTGGAACGCTTGCTCCATCAAGGTCCTACCATTCCAGAAAGGTCTCTTGGATAGTGGTAAGACGAAAAGCAGTCACCTTCCTAGTCTAAACTGATACACTATGATAGGGTCCAAGGGCGAAGTCTTACTGCTTCTAGCTGGGTGGGTGTGACAACAGTAAGGTATTTCCCTTGGATGACCGGCGGTGCTACGCTGACGCTGCCTTCCTTACAGGAAGAGGGGTTTAGGAACGATCGGTCCAAAAAACAGCATACTCCTCCCTGCCCCACGGTCTTTCGGTGCCGGCGATATGAGTTTTTCTCTCCGGCGCTAGAACAACCAAATCTCAAAACAAAAACCGACAATCAGCAAAAGCCTGCATGTGACAGACCTCAAGCAGGTGTCCCATGAGCTCTGTGGTCACAAACCTTTTTCTCTCTCAAGTACCCTCAGAAGAGGAACCTCAACTGATGAGGTTGTCAACCTTCATTGACTCAGCTGAGAAGTGAGTTACGCAGCTCAGGCTAGAAGTGTTAGTGATGGCCACATTAAATCATGGCAGTCTCTGAAGCCTTTGACTGTCGGTCTGAGCCGTGTACAGAGATGTAGACCTCTCGGTTGGGGTTCGTATGATAATCGGAATCGGTGGTTGGAGAACAGGCGGTATGGCTCAGGATCAATGTCAGTGGCGCAGATGCACTCAGACATACTCACCATAGTGATAATGCTGAAATTCACTATTGTTTTCTTTCTCTTCGTTCTCTCCTCACACCTTCCTGGGACTCCTAACTACTTTCTTCCATATTTCTCTCTTGTTTGAGTGCCTCCTGCATTGATATTCTGATATAAGGTGTAGCAAGTCAGACTATTGACAATCTATAATAAATCTGGGCAGTTTTGCAAGGCTTTAAACAACACTCAGTAACGGGTTTGAGCACTATGTGAGGATACGAAACAAAAATTAACGTTATAAATATATTTGTTAGGAAGTTTTACACACAGCGGTGTTATTCAGTTTAGCTCGAGATATTACAAAAACTAAATAATGTTGTGCAAACGTTCATAACATATTTATCATAAATGTATTCATTTTACAGTGCACAAGTTTTTCTCGGATATAATTAACTTTCTACTTCATCTCAACTTCCTCTAATGACAAACTGACAAAGCCAACATGGAACTGTGAATTTAGGTGCATCGACTCAAGTTGCTACATTTCACAGCAATATACAAAGAACAGTTTGGAGAAAAATGTGTGATCAAATTAGACAAAGTTGTGTGAGAAAATAAACAATTTAAAGAAAAAGTCAGTGAGAATATTCAAGCTTTAGGAGACGTCAAAGAGCGAATACGTTCGTACTACTGTGACTGATTTTCAGCCATGTCACTGCAAGTTCTAAACCACTGATTCCTGTCGTCTCGGGGACCCTGGACAGGCAGTCAACATCTCCCAACACGGCTCAGACCAACAGCCAGGGACTTCGTCGACTGGTGCCACGTCTTGGTCTGGTCACTGAACTCTTCCAATCAATCCAACTTTCCCCAGCATTGCACTTCGAGGTGGGCGGTGGTTCGGCATTTGCAGTACATACAGCTAACCCAACTCAGTCGACTAAGGTTCATGACCTCGTCAATCGATTCGCCCGTTTTGTCTAGTAGCCACCTCACCTAAACACTGCTCACGCGGTGATTCCATCAAAGGGAATCCCAAGCCATCGAACCGACACTGGTGATTGTCTGTTGCAATTTGTTCCGACAATCACTTTCTGTCTAGCACTAACTTTGGGCATAAGGAGAGACACTGTCTTACATGACGTCCACCGACATCACACAGACACAGATCACATTGCTACTAGCCAATGTTGGTGAGAATCAGGTGAGGATTGCCGCTCTTTCAGGAATACCCGTATGGACTCCAACCATGCTCTAGTACGGATTTGTGTACGCCTGTGCCATACTGGTCGCAGGAAATGAGACTGTAAAGTTTGTTTATGCTTGATAGGAAGATGAGAACGCCAAATACGTATTTGGGTAGGATGTAGGTAAGCATTTATCTGAACGCGACAGCAATGACCATCCCGAAACCTGTCGTGATACTAAGTCCGCTATAGAAACAGTAGTAAAGACGGTTGATAATTTAAACCCAAAAGCTAGCAAACGTCATTCGACTTCCGCAAAGTCAGCTAAACTGACTGATGTGAGAAGTCTATTCCCACCTGACCCTGACCACGACGAAGAGTGAAAGCAACTTGAACGTAGTGACCAGGATTCTTCATAATGGTCCCGAGCAATAGTGAGTAGCGAGAGCATGCAAGCGAAAAAGATGGAGGCATTAGAGTTAAGTAACACCCGGCAACTATTATTAAGTATACCCCGAGACGATGGTTAATGAAACCATAACCGAAAAGGATAAGACGCTGAAAACCACCCACGACAGCAGATAAGAATGTTGAGCAGAACACTTTGAAGCATAGTTCAACCAGCTCCTACCAACGTTTCAGTGGCATAACATTCAGTCTGAACCTGAATGGGACGTAGGCGTCGGTCCCCCAAATCCCTTTGAAGTTGAGAAGGCTGTTTCGAACCTTAAATAATGCAAAGCAGTAAGAGCTGACAGTTTACTACATGAAGTTTTCAAGGATAGAGGCTGGAAATTGCTAAAGAAACTGACGGAGGTACAAAGTAGTGTATAGGAATCAGAAGTAGTGCCGTCAGAGTAGTCTACTTCACTGATCATTGCAGTCTATAGGGGAGAGGTGTCCTGTCGTGACAACCATAGGGGAATTAGTTTGACTTAAGTTGTGCCCAATATCCTAGGACCAAGAGTTATTCGATGCCTCGGGGAAACCAGACAGGTTTCAGATGGAGCTGGACAAGGATGTATTGACCGCATTCTCACCCTTCGACAGATTCTGGAAGACAGGCACACCTACTAGCGACCGTCATTTGTCACAATTCTTGACCTGAAGGGGGCATTTGACACCGGATCCTGATGAGGTATGACAGTGTCTGATTGTGAAGGGAGTCCCAAGAAACCATACAGCGTTAATCAAAGCTTTTCACTTGAACTCACGTAAAGGCTTATGGAGAGCTGTCATGCAAACTAACGACAACTATTGGTGTTCGCAAGGGATGTCCCCAGTCACCGTTCCTACTTATCTTCGGCACAAACGCAGTAATGGACATCACCTTAGAAACGGGACGATAGGAATCGATGGTTTAGAACTAGGGGTGATATGGCTGAAAACAGGTCACAGTAGTGAAGATGCGTTCACTCCCCGTCTTCTAAAGCTTGAATATTCGCACTGACATTCGTCCTTAAATTGTTTATTCTCTCACAACTTTGTCTACTTTAATGTCACTTTTCCTATCCACTTGTTTTCGTATACTGCTGTGAAGTAAGGCAAGTTAGTGTGATACACGTGTATGAGGTTCGACGTCGACTATCAGTCAGCACTTTACTGTGACGTAAACTTGAAATTGTCCACTAGAGTAAAATTGTTGCTTGAAGCAGGACTTAGACCTGAAAGGGCTAAGAAGATGGCCCTTTTTATAATCTCTGTAATGTATAGCCCAACGTGCAAGAGGAGAATTTTGCAGTTAGTCTAATCTTTATCGTTCCATAGACGGGAAATATTCGCACAAACAGAATATAAAGAAATGACTCAAGAAACTAATCTATCTTCTTTTTCCCAACAGGTCAAATGCGTTAGATAGAATGACGAAGAATACTGGGTTTGAAGCCGAGTAATCACATCCACGAAATGCCTTTATGAGAAGCGACTTCCCTATCAACTGACAAAACACCTGAAGTTGACGTTCTTGTATCAAAGTCATGTTTTCGTCACATATCTGAAACCCAAACTGGACATAAAAGCATTTCTTGGGTATACATCGTATGGAAAAATATTCTATCTCTTGGTGCCATTGCGTATTGGTCAATACCCGAGGACGGTGACTTACAGGATGGGTAATCAAGGTATTCATCTACGAGTAAAAACTGCACTGACAGTTCTCATAAAAATTTTCAAAACATACTCTGAGAATTATAGAATGCACAATGATAAACTGTTAAGTGCATATTTCCCAAGCTTGTGTGCCGTTTTATACGGTGATTTCCTTCAACACTACCATGCGAAATCTTGAGACCTCCCAAAACAAAACTACGGTTTTCCGGCGTTTATTTTAAAATTCCGGATCCTAAGCATTTTCAATCCCCAATTTCGGTCTCAATAATAAAGTAGGATTGAAGTGACCACTTTAAGTAAACAGCTGGTTGAAGAAGCAAGGGAAACTCTAGATGTTGATGCACAAATTTGAACTAGACTACTATCATCACAGATCGCGGTTATTTCGAAGTACATCTTGAACGTAAAGTGAAAAAAAGACTTACCTGGATACAAAACCAACCCAATATCACAAGAAATACACGAACTTCGAAATTCTCGGATCGGGCGCTTAACTTTGCATCATCGCCTAACCTAACAAAATTATTGGAATACAGTTATCAATATTAGGTTAATTATGTAGCACAAACGATTTAACCAGTTTCTGTTTACTTTTTCGCAACTAAATCTGCTTCACTTTTTCGGCGCAGATCGAAAAAACCTTGTAAAAGAGAGTAAAATCTTTAGGTTTTGAGATTTACATGACGCGCGCTTTAAAAATATGAGTTAAGTTGTTAGCAGTCTGTTTTAGTAGCTTTTATTGGGTTAGGTGCATAAAAACCCAACCCCTTTCACTTCTGCTGAAGGCACTACAGTTTACAACGAGTTTTATGAACTTCTTTTTGTGGTTTAAGAAGGTTCAGTTCTCTTTTATCTGTCTGGATCGTCTACAATTCGAATTGTACGTGCTCTCTTTGTTGTTCTCACGTTTTGTTGTTTCAGTTAGCTATCTTATTTTTGTTTCGAGGAGGTCTCCGACTGGACGACCGGGTTGGGATTTTCTTGTTATCAAGTGGACGCAATGATATATGTTCCACAAATGGATCCACCAGGCGTGTGCCAGATTACCATCGACAGGCTACAGTAGGTGGACCGAACCCTTCTATCCCTGGCTATGCAACTTTTGCTTCAGTCCGCTCACTTTGTTGATTAAAAATGCCGTAGTCTCAACAGTGTCTGAAAAAATGTCACGTAATTTTACCGATGACAACACTGGCTAGTTTGGAGTCGGATGATGACACAGATTATGTGTGATGATAAAATGGCTCAGTGATGGAATACCGACGGCGACTAAATGCCAGAGGGAACAATAAGTAGGTGCTAGTTTACATTTACCTGCTCTGAATGCCGGAGGTAGGCGTAAAAAATGTATGAAGTCTTACAAGACTACTGAGTGTGGTCATATCATGGAGGAAGCCATATACGCTTACTGCTCCAGACAAATTTTAACGGAAGACCAAAAACAGTAATTTTGCAGTCTACTTTGCCCAAACTGTAAAGAATTGTTTTCTTGTAGCCACCACGTATATTGCATAAGCTGTTACTAAATCTTCCGAAACTGTTGGTCATGTTATTCGTCCCACAATATCAGTGGAGCCATATGAGCGCGCAGCCACTTTCGCCCAATTTAAATGCAACACTGGTTACTTTTGACGGTTACCACGATTCATTCTATAGATTTCGTTTACCTGTGGATCATGCTGAAGGGGAATACGGTAAGATAGAGTCATCGGAATATAATCATGATGCGGTGAATAAATAAGTATTTTGTTCTTATGTCATTATTTTAATATGAAGAAGCCAGTTTACGGGTATCATCAAGTTGATAATGGTAGGTGGGCCAACGGCCTCACCTAGTTTATTAGGTGGTCATAAGCCCGGATACAGTGGGAAGGTTGAGCGTAGGGATAGCAAACCTACCCCATGAAACCAATCCAATCGCTAAGGCAACCTCAAAACATAATAAAGGTTTAAAAATAAAAATAAACCTATTCCTTGCTGGAACAGGAAAGAGAAAATGATGCTAGTTGGTGAAAGCCACCGGGAAACCGATTGACCAATGTGTCTTCTCTCTCTCGATGCAAGCAAAAGTAAGGATGGGGACATGGAATGTCCGAACAATGTTTGAACCTAGCAAGGCTTCCCAGATTGCAGAAGAGATGAGAAAATATGACAAAAAGTGCTTGGAATGAAAGTGGACTATGAAAACTGTCAACTACAGAGGAGTCAATAATCTCCGATATTGTCACCCAAACGACAAGCACCCGCACTCTGCGTTTTGGAGTGGCTATCATGATGTCCCTGAGATTATCAAAGGTCTTCATGCAGTGGGAACCAATCTCCTCCTGCAGGGTCAACACCATGACAGCAAGGCCCAACTCAAAAGGAAGGAAGGAAAGTCACAATCATACAATGCTACGCTAAACTAAGCATCTATGAATAATGCAGAAGAAGAGAAGAAGAAGAAGAAGGAATTCTGTAGACAACTTCATTCAGTAATGAAGAAGATCCCACCCCAGTTGGCGACATCAAATTCATTCTAATGGATGGTGTGACATGAATGCCAAAGTGGGAGTGGACAACACAGGAAGAGAAGTCATCATGAGTGGAGAGGCACTCGGTTGAATGCATGAGAATGGAGAAGTGATTGCAGACTTCTGCGCATTTAATGATTTGGTGATTGGAGGGGGGCAGTGTGTACAGACACAAGGATATTCACAAGGCAGCGATATTGACTTGATTTCACCTGATGGACCCACTACAGTAAAAATCAGATCGACTTGATCTCAATGTGAAGAAAGTGGAGACACAGCCAGGCTACTGGATACAAGAAGAGATGGAGACGAGGAGCAGATGTAGGTTCCGATGATGAGACAATGTAGTGGAAGAAAGCTATCTTGAGAATGAAGTTGAAAGCCTTTAAAGAAGGTGGTGATGCCTGACCACAGTTGAAGTTGAACACCCAGAACAGAAAGTGAAGGACGGAACTACGAAGGGACTTCTCTACGTCAGTCATTATGAAAAAATGGGAGACATTAGGCAGCATCCCGGTGATGTTGGAACATGATAGATAAGGGAGAGGAAGATGGGAATCAGAAGATGAAGCAGTGCGGTGAAAGGATGACGAACGGAAAGAGGAACTGAGTATAACTTATAAAACACTATACTTGACAACGAAGCGAACAGGCCGCAGGCTAGTAGGAACGGCCTGATAACACTCCATCAAATAACCAAAATACTGTCTGGGAAGAGATCAACTCAGATGAAACCAATGAGAGATGGTGAGGGAAATCGTGTTACCGCCAAAGAGAAGAAACAAAGGAAATGATGGGCTGTCCACTTCAAAACACTCTTGAATCGACCACCATCACCACCACCACCACCTGGAACTCCTCCACAAATACTACAAGCAGTCCAGCCACAGAACTACTAGTAAACACAAGCCATCCGACTAAAGCAGAAGTGAAGTTTTGGATGCCATAAAGTTGCTGAAATCCAAGAAGGCAGCAGGACCAGATGGAATTCCGCCAGAGGTACTGAAAACAGACACAGAGACATGTGCAGTGGACATGCTCACACCACTACTGCAGAAGGTTTGGAAGGGAGGAAGGGTGGCTGCCTATTGGAAGAAGGGCTACCTTGTCAAACTCAAAAGAAGATCGACCTATCTCTTTGCAAGATCTGGTGTGGAATCATGCTACCACGCACCCCGTGCAAAATATTAAGCCGTACCCTGGAGAGGCTAAAAAATGCTCTGGATTTAAAATCACGACACAAACAGGCTAGGCGACTTCAGGAAGAACAAATCATGTGCGCTTCAAATTGCAGCGCCATGTGTCATCATAGAACAGAGCATAGAATGGTAGCCAGTCAGCTCTTCGCCCCGACTGCGTGGAGTATGAAAAGGCATTTTACAACTTCGTTGGAGAAGTAAATTGGAAACTGCTTCAACAGGGCGGTTTTACTGTCACAAACCTTTGTCAACCTCATACAGTAGCTACAGGACGGCAAGACATACCAAGTGGTTCACAACACAACGGAAACTCATTGATGCCTTTGAAGTGAAGGCGGGTTGACAAGCAAGACAAGGCTGCCGCCTACCATCAGCGACTATCCCTCTGACTGTGGTCGACTCGATCGTACTGGATCATGCAACAAACCATGAGGAGCGAGAAAATGGGCATGCGCTGTTTTTCCGATGAGAAGACGCTAAAAGATTCGGATTTCGCCGATGACGGTTTACGTCTGATGTTGCACGGTCTCCAAGATCCACAGCTAAAAACCAACAATGAACTGGGTGGTTCGAAAGAACTTGGGCACCCAGTTGGCATGATTCATTTTATAAGGTGTATTTTTACTTGTGTAATCCTGGTGCAGTATTTTGGGGCAAATAACAAAATAAACAAATATGTTTTATCATTCCTCAACGTTTCGATCTTGCTAATATACTACGCCGGGACTACACAGAGAAAAATACACATCACAGTGAAAACCAACAAGTTAGCAAAAGAGGTACGGCAGCGAAGACGGAACTTCCTTCAGGTGAACCTTGGGAGGGCAGAGTTGATGAAATACCCAACCAAAAACAGCAATGAGCACCAATCACCATCAGCGGGACAAATCGAAAAGGCAGTTATCTCTTTCACCTACGATGGCAGTATTGTCTCAACTACGGGCGGCACAGGCACCAACGAGGACGTCAAAGCTAGGGTCGAAAAGACAGCTAGACAGGCCCTCAACAATCTGAAACCATTGTTGAGACCTACTGCATTGCACTGCACTCATCGCAAAGAGCAAGACCCCGCTTTTCAACACTAAGTCAAATCAGTGCTTCTACGTGATGGTTGAGAGAGTTGGCTGCAGAGAACAGGGTGAAATGGCGGCGTTTCGCCGAGACCCTATGTTCTACTGGGAACCCGGGGGATTGATAATAATTGCACTAAGTGTAATCTACGACATTTTTTGTGCCCTGTATTGAACAGTGGAGAGGATATTAAACCCCATGATGATATCAACCCTCTAAGTTACCTTGAGACCGCTTTACACTTTACAATACATACACACTATTCCGAGTTCAGATTATTCCCACTTACGATTCTTTTTCCACACTCAGGTGGCATCACCTCGGCGCCACATCCGGTGTTTGCGTTTTGAGCGTTCGACATGACTGGCCCGACTGCAAAATCCCATATTTTGCCAGACAGAAGTCTATTTTAACAGCTATTCTCATGTCCATTACTTTACTGGCTAAGAAGAACTCACTTCAGTGCTTTCAGGAATCAGTAAGTATCCATATAACTACTTAATCCATGTGAATATCTATGTTCAAACACTTTCCATTCTTCAAAACCCCATGTCGGCGCAAAAAACAAGGAGAAAACAGTCCTACCGCTTCAACACATACGAACTCTAGGGATACGGCATGCACCGAGAAACGACCGAACAGCGTTGTTAGGACCTGTAATCCTATTATCCCACCCATTCTGACAGTATAGCCATCTCAGCTGGATCAGGACATAACTAAGCAGGATTTCCTAGTTGCTCACAAAACCCTAGCTATCGTTACTAGCCTCCCTTAGGTGACCATAAACAAAAGCCTGTATTTGACAGTAACGTCACTAAACACAGACTCATGGGTAAAACCTTAACCTTTAAACCTAAAAAGTTCCAGAACAAAGCCAACTTTAAACGTATTTTTCTAGTGGTGGCGAAGAATACTTGGCGGCTAACATGGTCACCAAAGACAAACTGCCACCGGATCCACGGGAAATAGGGTATCCTTCAAAGAAAAACCACCTGAAGGGCACTTTTCACACTTAGTCTCAACCGTTAGAAAGAGATACTACAATAAATTTGAGGCATCCCACACAAGACGATACCCTGGGTCACGCCTATTCAGCCACCATGGCCCTAATGGGATGATATGTGGCTTACCAAATACCTTCATGTCATAGACGTCACATACCCCTCATCCAAACCTACATCGATACCCCGATAATCCCAGTCAGTGCCACAGGAGTTTATATATTTCCCCTCTTGATGCTATCTCTACCTTTGAGGCTCATCAAACTTTTTGGGGATCCCGCAATATACGTACGACCCTTGGTACATAGGATCGTTTTACCCTCCAGAAACACAAGCTTGTGGCTACCATCCTCGAGTTACGTCTGTCGTACACCCGAAGAAAAGTCCTGACTTGAGAACGATAGTCTTACTAAACCTACAGTGATATTAGTCACCGAATCATGGTGCCCCACCTTGGCTTTTGACGTGAACTTTTGAGCAGATAGTTGTACTTTTTATCACACTAACTGGTATCATAAGCGTGGTAAAGGCTGCCTGATTTATATATGCAGCCTTGTTACAGCTAATAGGGTTGACGACAGTACGCTAAATGCTCCGC